GCATCCAAGTTTATCCGAAAAACTGTTTTCGGTATTTCGTAAGTGTGACCGTAGCGATTGTGAACCATGCGTAACCCGTGCGATTCTCATCTAAATAATCATCTAAATCACAATTCATGTATGTGGACTTATGGTACATGGAAATAAAACAATTTTATTCTGTACATCTTAATCTATGTTTTAATAATTACAATTTTTCAACATTTTTAAATATGCTTGTACAATTACATAAAAACGACAGATTTAATATGAACTATTATTTATTTAAAAATTCATATTAGTACCTTATTGTAAATTACAAAGACATTTTTTTCGTCTAGGTTAGCTTGAAACCGTTAATTAAGAGATGAAATAAACTTCGTCTATAAAAAATAACTTAATTAATTTTTGTAGCACTTAATAAATAAGTTCATCGGCACGGAGCTGGTTCTGCACTGGAAGCTAAATACTATCCACATATGTATGTTCGAACATATTTAAACAAGTAGAGAATTCTACGTATATAAAAATAAAGTGATTTATCCGCGTACGTTTATTTTACAGAGATAATGAATAATTATACTTATTTTTCAATAGCGGTCAAAAGTAATTGCACAAAACAAATTTTGGCTTTAAATTTAAGTTGGGGAATGAAATATGATTAAAATTCTTTTGATGAGTTTTTTTTTAGACAGCTATTTAAAAAAATATATATCATTTAAATTTCATCAATTAATTAAATCAATTTTCATTTGTAGCCTGCTTGTGGAATTTCTTTCATAGAGAAAATAATATATTATAAATACTTTAACAATGGGCCGTGATGTCCATGAGATTTACTTTTCTTTACATATAAATGTAGGTCACAAAAAATTATTATTTTTCTTCAAAATTATATCCATTTCAAACTGTTAACAGCAAAAGATATTAATAGATTTTAGATAAATTTATCCCGTTTAGAGCCATGAATTTTTGAAACAGGAGGACATTGAATGTACTTTTTTGTTTTTAATTACCCACATACATATTAAATATACAAGGATGCGTACTAAGGTTTTTGGTTTATTATTCTCAATAATGAACCAATCTAATCGAACAAAAATTTCAAAAACTTAACCCCCTCTCAAAATTTGATGTTTTACGCTTCAGGTTACGTAGAATTCGAAAACCGAATAAAAATGTTTTTGTCCTCCAGCCGTCCGCGCATTTTCTCCAAAACTACTGGACTGATTTTTTTCAAATTTGGATTTATAATCAGAGGTCAACCGAGGATGTTTCTCCTTCATCGACATTACTATCCGCCTTTTACTTTCAAAATGAAAAACCTGCATTGCTACAGATTGTAGCGCCTAAACGAATGTACCGATTTCAATAAAACTTGACTAGTCTTCTAAATGCCCTTTAAATTTATCTATATCATATACTTCAACGAAAAGAAGCTGGGAAAAAAAAGTTACGAGGGATGGTAAAATTAGATTCCAAAAAACTCAAAAATTATACACTTTTTTGTCAATATTGTGTAGTTCTTTTAAATTTTACAAAATTTTCTAAAAAACAAAAAAAAATCGGACAATTAGGATCAAAGATATGTTCTCTAGACGTTTTTTATGTCTATTGCAAATTCTTTGTTTTGGATTTTGATTTTTGAATGTGTCACTGAAGTAATCCTTTTTTTTTTTTTTTTTTTTTAGCAAATTACTAATAATGAAAAAAAAATGTTTAGACAAATAATTGGAATTTTATTTCTTTTAATTTGTTTGTAATGTTACTTCAGATGTATAATTGCTGGAAAATAATAAACCATTGTGAAATAATTTGCAGCATTTTTCCTGTTATAACCAAACAATAAACTATATGTTTATCATACACTATATATATGTTTTTTTTAATTAGTTAATACATTTTGATTTTATTTTATTTTTTTTGTTTTGTTGTGATAATTGAATAAAAGTGTAGAAAAGCTGTATTAGCAAAATTGATTCATTTACATCAATTGAAACTGAGATTTAAAAGTGGTTTACATACGTCATCCACGCGAATGTTCATTTGAAGTTAAAGAAAGTATAATTTCTTCATCATCTGAGATATATTCTGATTTCCTATCGAGTATTGAAGTGGCTATTTTTTTATTACTTTATGCTAATATATATATTGCTAAAAGATACGGCAATGAATATAAATTGAAAATTCTCTCTCGGATATTCAATCACCGGAGGATGGACAAGCAAAGAATCAATTTCCCTGCCATAATACCAAATTCCGTTTACAGGCGTTCTAATCTCCATGTCTCTTTACAGCCCATCCACTTCGGTATATGTTTCGATAAATCTTATTTACTCGAGTAAATAAATTATCATTTGGTAATTTCGCTTAAAGATTAATAATTATTATTAATTTTTTTAATTATTTATTTATTTAAATTTACAACTGCATTAAATAAAATATTTTTAAATACAAAATAAAATACATTTTTCGAACTTAGCATTATAAATTAATTAATACAATAATATTATTATATAAATAATTTTTTTGATCCTGTTATTTTTTTAAATTGCGAAATACAAAAAAGTAGGGTTTTTTATTTGAAATGTACAAAATAAATTACGGAATTGATAAGATCCTACTATATATATATATATATATATATATATATATATTGGCTTATGATTTTCAATGATGAACCATTGTAATCCAAAAAATAATTCAAAGCTTAACCCCCCTCTCAAAATTTGAGGTTTTACTTTTCAGGATACGTAGAATTCGAAAAACGAATAAAATTTTTTTTGTCCGTCCGCCGTCAGCGCATTTTCTTCGAAACTAGTAGACCGATTTTTTTTTTTTTAATTGGGATTTAAAATCAGAAGTCACTCGAGGATGATCCTCCTTCATCGACATTACTATCCGCCTTTTATTATCAAAATGACGTCTGAAAAACTGCGTTGGTATAGACTGTACCACCTAAACAAATGTATTGATTTCAATCCATATAACATATTTCAACGAAAAGAAGCTGGAAAAATATTTACGAGAGATGATAAAATTAAATTCCGAATAGCTCAAAAAGTATACACTTTTTTGTTGATATTGTTATTTAAAAATTTACGAAATTTCCTAAAAAGCCACAACAAAAAATCGTTAAAATCATACAATTAGGAGCAAAGATATAGTCTCTAGATGTTTTTTATGTTCTACTGCAAATCCTTTGTTTTGGGTTTTTGAATGTGTTATTGAAGTAATGCTATTTTTTTTTTTTTTTTTTGCAAATTACTAATGATGTTTAGACAAATAATTGAAATTAACTTTTTATTTCTTTTAATTTGTCTTTAGATAGGTAATGTCACTTTAGATGTATAATTGTTGGGAAATAATAAACCATTTTGAAATAATTTGCAGCATTTTATTTTTCTTAACCTCCATTTTATTTTTCATCTATTACAATCTATGTACATACAATACATAATATATATTAATTTATTGTTCCTAAGCGTCTCCTTACTTTTTTCCCTTACATTGGTGTATAAAGCAGTAGAATATCATGTGCCTGTATGGCCATTAGAACTACAGCTGGAATAAAAATAAAATATCAAGTGTTAGAGTTTTTTCCACCTAGATTGGTCATTCGTCCCACAGTGCGGCATTGCTATGCTCGAGAATGTTAAACATTTAGCTCGCTAGACCACCACGACCTCCCGTTATTATTATTGTGGCAATAAGGTCCAGCAAGAACCTTGGCATCCTCCACTACCAATCTTCAAGATCTTTTGCTTTCTCACTCCATCTCTTAATACCCAGTCGTCTTGGATCGTCCTTTACAAGCTACAGTCATTCTGGTCCAAGGGCATCCTCTACTTCTCTTGCCATTCGGTTTTCCATAGAGCATCCTCTTTGCCCTTATTTGATCGGGCGTTTTCTCCGCATGCCCTATCCATCTTATGGCACAATATCGGGATCCCCAAACGGGTTCTAGCAGGATGGTTGGTTCAGTGATTCAACTATCCACCAACCAAAAGTTCAGAAAACAAATACTCAATGATAGCAATCCCTATATAGTTCTATATAAGATCTTTAGACCATCTTTTCTGAGGCGCTGGAGAATTATCAGAAATCAAGGAGGCAGCAAGGATGGAAACAAGTGGGTTCATATGGAACTGGAGTTTATCATGGAAGGATAAGTATCTAAGTCAGGTTAAATCAGCGATTATTATTTTTAAAAACAATACTTTTATTCAAAGCAATGCATTATTTTTAATCTATATAAGAAAAACACTTCCATATAAAGTTGAGAGCTTGTAGCTATAGTAGAGGAAGTAGAGGGTAAAAAAATTGTATTAAAATTTTTAATAACTTGTAAAAACATTTTCGATTTATTTAATCTAACTTAATTGAAACAAAAGATTTTTTTTTTTTTGAAAAATATTCTTTATCAGGATGGTTGTCGGTTTTACATTTTCTCTTTTATTTAATTTGATTCTTCGCCTTACGTTTAGAAATAGATGAATTCTTCAGGTACTTTAATTAATTGGATCCAGTTCTATAGAAAACTTTTTACCAAGGGTTGCTTTGAGATTCATGTTTTTTTTTTTCACCTCATTTTCCATACCCTTTATTAGACTTTAATTGAATTCTGTTTACATTCACATAAGTTTTCATTTTCTTTGTTCTTTATGCTGATCCACTCAAACTCTAGATGGATGGAGACCAAGAAATGTCAACGACATTGATCAGAAAAATCAATACTCCTTCTAGGTGGATCTTATTATCAAATATATGCAATATAAAATTTGACTAATTGCACCTGCGTTCACTGATTCGTTTCGATATTTGATCACCAGTTTAAAAACGGTATGCAAACAAAATATTCATTCGTTTTAAAATCCGAGTCTTGCTTATGATTTACTCGTGCGCGCGAACTAGGCTTCAACCTAAACAAAAGACATAGATGACAAAGAACACAAAATAATGTTTTCGACGTAATAATGAATTGTTATTAACCGAATGAAAACACATGAAAAAGATAACATTTATTCAACAATTGGCAATGGTGCAATCTTCGGAATCGGTTTGAACGCCTTAGAATGGCCGAAACATTTGCACTGTTCTTTACCACGACATTTGTGATGGTCGTAATAATAAGGTGTGAAGATCGTTCTTTCTCCCAAAGGCTGGGTTGGCTTCACGTTAGTTTTTTCTGTATCGAATTTTCTCAAATCCCACATGTTCTGCATCTGAAAACAATTTTAGTTAACAGTTTATATGACTTTCTAATAATTATAATCCGTGGTATACACCCCTTCTTATCAAATCATTAACATCCACCTGAAACTTCGTAAATAACTTCATCTCATCTTAACCTACAAATATTTTATTTCCGAAATTCTCGGAATGGGGTTTTCTTGATTGTTTACTTCACTATTATTATTTTTATTGTGATTTGGTTTTAACTTTTATAAGGTAAAAGAAAATATCTGAATGAGATTACACTAAGGTTTAGTGCAATGTTTCTCAAGATCTCTGTGCCTCGGGGGTAAACGACACCATGTCCATTTTTTTCATAAGATAACTTAGCAACGAATAAACATATTTTAATAGCTCAAAGTTATGGAATATAGGCTTCCTCAAAAAATAAAAAATGCAACATAGTTTCCAATACCTTCAGAATACAGATTTAGTAAAAAAAAATAACAAAAGTTAATAGTGCAAAGTTATGGAACATTGGCTCCCTTGAACAAATACGAAAATGGATATGATGTTGTTTACATCCGGGGTATACATTTAAATATTTGACAATACCATAAGCTGATAAATGTTAAATATGCATATTTTTATCATTTATAAAATTTATGTTTATCTATTATCTCATAAAATTAAATAAAAAATCATATGTGTTTCGCAATTAGTATTTTTAGTAGTTTGTTCTCGAATACACAACAATGAGTAACTAGTTGAACAAAGAAGTTAAGCTCTGATGTAAGAACTTCAATCAAATGGTATATGCAGATGTATACAGCTTATAATACAAAATGTATACAGGTGTTTTCAATCTGAATATTGTCAAACTTTGTTTATTTAACAATGTACTAAAAACCCGTTGTTCGATCACGGTGATTTGGTGTGAGCCAAATATTATCTATTGACCTATAATTGAGTGATAATACGGTGGTTAATGTGAGAATCGGTGTGGACTGTAAGAGGTTGGATCACTGAAATTTAATACATGATTAAATTAATAAGCATCATTTTTTAGGAAATAAAAATATCTTTGAAACATCTTATCACAATATCGACAAAAAAGTCTACTATTTTTGAGTTATTCAGAATCTAATTTGACTGTCACTTGTAACTTTTTTTCCATCTAACAATATCTAACAAAGTTTCATCAAAACATTGGCCCGTGATGCAGAAAACAGCTCGTTTATGAATCTCTGACGAAATACCATTTTAAATAGCCTTCACAATTTAAACATAAATAAAATATACTATACTTATAAAAAAAAATAATTTTTAAATTAAATGAAATAATTTTCAAAACAAAAGAGATATTTTTAAAAAATCAGCAATAATAATAAATTTAAAAAATCTCAACCGCTTGGCTTAAGTACGATCCATTTTGCAGTTCATAGAGAAGAAAATTGATTGTCAATTCATCTCTTTCTCTCCTAGCCACCTCAATCCCTGCATATATGTGCAGATTCATGCATAGAATATTAGCATATGTGCAATATCTCTGCATAGCATGTTTCCACTTAATCGTCAGCGAGGTTGGATTAATTATTAATTTATTATGTATGCGTTCTCTGATGTTTAACAGTATTGTAGTAGAATAATTACGAACCAGAATACCAATAACATATAAGCAACATTATTATTGAAAAAAAAATCGTCATCAATATGTTGAAAGTAAAATGGTCATCCAAATAATGCCTTAATTGGTGTTTGAAAATGACAGTCGACACACAGTTTCGTGAGTAGTGTTGCCCAAAATCGGACCAAGACCAAGACCAGGACTGGTAAAAAAAATGTTTTTTTTAAAATAAAAATTAAGGCAATATAGTTACTTATACTTGACAATCTTAGTAGCTATATGTTAATAAATGGTGTAAACAATATCCTTTTGCATTCAACTCCTCAAAATTACTGTAATATCTCTATAGTAATAAGCTCATAAGTAACTGCAAGACTGTTGCGAGACAATTGCGCAAGACAAAGATCACGACCAAGGCTGAATTTGCAAGACCAAGACTCGTCTTGGTCTCGCATTTGGCTGCGAGAATTTAATTGCAGGGTAAACACATATCATTAAAACAAATTATCTTTGCCTACTATAGTGTTTTTATTGTTACAGCCTAATCTTGATCGATGAATAAAAATTGAGTATTCATCAGTCAAGTACCCGATTGGATTTTCTAGTAGCCATTCATATTTTAATTTTGCATTGCTACTATAATATAGAGAATTATTGCCTGTTATATTGTAAATTTTAACTATCTCAAGATTACCTTAACCTAAATGAAGCTGAACTAAGTTGCAAAATCAATGATATTACGACGAACAGGGGCATTAAGCCCAATGACGCCTGCATAATGCCAAAGATCTTAACATGGTGGAAGGAGTCAAGTCCTTAAGTTGGACATGGAGGACGGAATGGCGCTTTAGAGAACCCTAGGCCTAACCACACCACATCACTTGATAAGATCTTTCTTGGCACTCAACACCACCCTTCGGTGCCCCAGTAAAGATTCAAGCTTAGCCAGCAGGCTTTAAATAACCTAGAGAATTTATTACCTGTCGTTTATTTATCGGCAACACTTTCTTGAAAAGCAGCCACTCGTACTCTTTATGATCGCCTTCAGTACCGCTTCCGGAGTAATTGTAATATTCCGATTCAGCCAAAATGTCTTTGAAATCGTAGAGGAGGTTGTTGGACGTCTCGAGACTCTTTCCCTTCTTGTTGATGTGTGATACAACAGAGAAGAGGTCGTAGTAGCAGATTTTACGGCTCAGCTTTAAACATAATAATTGTGTAATATCAATAAGTTAGTTTTAACTATGTCTAAAGGGTATCCATTTCAATTTTATTTTGATAATAACGTACTTATGTGTGAACAATATAAATCACACAGCAAAAAATGTATTGTTTGTCTTAACCTACAGATTTTCAAGTTAATGAGTTATTTTTTCTTAGCCCGAAAGCTGTTCTAATCTCAATCGTTCGATTTAAATATATATACAGGGTGTCCTGTAAGTAAAGAGAAATATTGTAATGGTAGATAGTAGACATTTAGGGCTACAAAAATGTCCATATAAGCCATGGGCCGATTTTATAATTTTAAGTCAGTTTTCTTTGATCATCCAAACCACCAATCCCGAATCTCGAATAATCGTTACTCGTGGTGGGTTCATATTCACGTTTTAAGTCATTGTCTCAAATAAAACAATTATTTTATTTTTTAGTTACGATAACAATTCCCGTTCTTATTTAACTTATTTCAAGTACCGTAAGATGTGATAACTTTGGGACATAGTGGGTAACATGGATACAGCGGGTAAAATTTAATTTGTAGTGATTCCGTGGTGGATACACTTTGTTGGTTCAGTCTGTAAAAACGTTTTTTGATTAGGCATGTACTGCGCTACTGTATTACGGCAGTTTGAGAACCGTAATTCACTACACTCTTGTGCAGTTAGGTTTTATTTATTTTCATTGCTTTTTCAAAATTCTTGTTTTCAAGAAACTTTCTCTTGTGCCTCAAGAGTAGTGTGCAGCAAGATAGTAGCGCAGTACATGCCTCTATACAAAGCACGTTTTTGCAGACTGAATCACAGTGTATCCACCACGGAAACACCACATACACGGTGGGCCAGACCCCCTTACCGTGCACCTCCCCTCCCTCCCCCCACATCCCTATAAATTGCATATCGTTGTGTTCCATGTAACTATTTATTAAAAAAAAGCCAATGTTCCCACAAAAAAAGTGAACGCACTGCCCCAAAATGGCGTACAAAGATGGCGGATTGACGACTTTGAATTTAGTTAGTTTTTTGGTTACTGAGAATCAGCATTTAGCTTAATATCCTCATAGTTGGTCTTTTATTAAAGCTGAATAGTTATAGAATAATAAACCATGAAGAAATATTAAAAAATAATTGGCTTAGGCTATGAAAAACACCAACAAAGTAAATTTTTTTAACAAAAAATGTTCAAGTTACAAATCAAGCGTCGTTTGTAATTAAACGGCCCACAATAACGCAAAACGTGCTGAAATAAACCATCTGGAGAATATACTTTTCTTTCTAAAACGCTGATTATTTTTTACAAATGTTTAAGCAGTTCCGTAGAAAATGCACTTATGCGGCAGAAAAGCGGTACTGGCGTGGGTGCCTACAGGCCTCTACCACACCATTCAGTGCCCATAAATGGCTTAGTTATAGTGATATAATAACATTTTTCGTACATTATATTGGTTTAATAAACGAACAAATATTAATGCAATAATTTAATTGTAAAAAAAAAATTTAAATTAAAAAAAAGATTTATTATTATTATTTTTTTATTTAATCTCCTTTATTCTATATGTAGGTCGTTTAAGAAGACCTCAATTGTAAAAATGATATTATTATAATAATAAAAGTTAATTAAAAAATACTTTGCTAAATAACTTGATTTTTTTTTATTTAACGTTTGCAATTTAACACTGTGTTTTGTATATTTACTGATTCTTAGAAGTAATTAAAATTTTTATATACTTCCCAGGAAATGAGTTATATTAATACCTTTTTTTACAAACTAAAAAAGGTTGTTATTGTAGGCCGTTTAATTACAAAAGACGCTTGATTTGTAACTTGAACATGAAGTTTTGTTAAGGTTTTGTTAAAAACCTCGGAATAGATAAAAAGGACCAGTATCCATTATATAGCTAAATGAATGTATAATAGAGAGATGAACAGAATATTTCAAGATGCTGCTAAAACGAGATCAATTGCAGTTTGGATGATATTAAGCGGACGATGTAGGATTATTATTGTGAAAACCACTTTATTTTCGATTGCTGAAGGTGCACATCGGGACTATATTTACTTTGAAGCAGGTTATAGAGAGGTATATCGAGAAAGTTATAGCTCACAGCTTTCCTTCTGTTTAGTGCATTTGCAAAAGATTTTGTAAGGAATCTTATATTAGTTATAGCTCGTTATTGTTCAGAAATTGCGGAATAAATTGTTCGGAATTTGTACCATATTATAAAAAAATAGGAAATTTTAATATTGAATGTATTATTCTCTCTGCACAAAGAAAGATGGAAAGGGCGAAACCGAACTGCTTTGATAGTTTTGCGCGTACATAGGCAACAAGCATATTAGAAAATAATATAAAAGGACTGTGGTTTTTACCTTTACAAGAAAGGAATACTAGGAAATGTAATACCCAGCAAGATCCATTCCTGTTAAGTGTACCAAACAAATTATACTCAAGAATCGTAGAAGCTGGAATAAGAAATATTGTCGATTTCCAGAGTGATATGGATTGATTCCAAGTTGCACATTGGAAGAGAAGTTGAAAATTGGGACTGTCTTCACTTTAAGGCAGGTTATAGAGAAGTCCACATAAACAGAAAAATAGTTCTCTATCTGTTTAGTGACTCACACTTTGGATTACGCTAATATCTAACTGTCTTTCAGAAAAGCTCGTTTTCCTTTTAGATTCCTTAAAAAATCTTTTGCAAATGCACTAAACAGAAGGAAAGCTATGAGCTATAACTTTCTCGATATCTTGAAATATTCTGTTCGTCTCTCTACTATACATTCATTTAGCTATATAATGGATACTGGTACTTTTTATCTATTCCGAGGTTTTGATGCTTCCTTTCTCGTTCGCTTAATGTATTATACGCGTTTTTCCTCATTTTGAGATCAAATCCAAACAATCAGTTTTGGAGAGAGAGAAACACTTTATTTTCATAAAATATATAATAATAAAATATATAATTTATATATAAAATATATAATAAAATATAAAAGAACTTATAGCATCACCCCTTCTACCTTTCTTTGTGCATAGAGAATAATTCATTCAATATTAAAATTTCCTATTTATTTATGATATAGCCCAATTCTGCACAAAATAAAGGAAATAAAAATTAATTTTTTAATTAGTGATATATGAGTTTTACTAAACAAACCGGTAGCTATTCATTATATATTGTTCAGATTAGGTATATATTATTTTAGTTTATAAAAAAATGTTTTAATATAACTCATTTCCTGGGAAGTATATAAAAATTTTAATTACTTCTAAGAATCAGTAAATATACAAAACACAGTGTTAAATTGCAAACGTTAAATAAAAAAAAATCAAGATATTTAGCAAAGTATTTTTTAATTAACTTTTATTATTATAATTATATCATTTTTACAATTGAGGTATTCGACCTACGTATAGAATAAAGGAGATTATATAAAAAAATAATAATAAATTTTTTTTTTAATTTTAATTTTTTTTTCACAATTAAATTATTGCATTAATATTTGTTCGTTAATTAAACCAATATAATGTACCAAAAATGTTATTATATCACTATATCTAAGCCATTTATGGGCACTGAATGGTGTGGTAGAGGCCTGTGGGCACCCACGCCAGTACCGCTTTTCTGCCGCATAAGTGCATTTTCTACGGAACTGCTTAAACATTTGTAAAAAATAATCAGCGTTTTAGAAAGAAAAGTATATTCTCCAGATGGTTTATTTCAGCACGTTTTGCGTTATTGTAGGCCGTTTAATTACAAACGACGCTTGATTTGTAACTTGAACATTTTTTTGTTAAAAAAATTGACTTTATTGGTGTTTTTCATAGCCTAAGCCAATTATTTTTTAATATTTCTTCATGGTTTATTATTCTATAACTATTTTAATAAAAGACCAACTTTTTTTTAAAATAATTAAGTTTAAAAAAAATTTATTTTATTTTTTCAAAAAATTGATATACATTTTTCTCTCTCAATTAAGAAAACTAGTTCATCACAAAAAAAATAACCTAAAACAAGTTATTTTCATAATCGGCTTATTAAAGTTTAGGTGAAAAACAAACGTATAACCAGTTATTTTCTAATAACTATCATTTCTATTAAGTATAGGTTCCTCGCCATCTTTTGGTTAAATATTTATATATAAATTTAAAATTGTTTGGTTTATATATTTGGGATAAAGTTTATATGGTTGGAGCCGTTTTGAAGTTTAGTTTTATCGTGATGCAACCCACGCAAAAGTTGTAACTAAATTTAACAAAATCGATACCGAATGGACTGTCTAAGGATCAACTCCCGCAAATCTTGGTAATTTCATCGCATCGATTAAACAATAGTAGGTTTTATCCCCATCAAATGTTTTCGTCAATGTTACTGCTACTATATTTCATAGCCGTTATCTTCTCAACAGTTGCATCACTTGTTGAAATTGATATTAGCTAGATCATCATCACAAAATTCATTTTATAAATACAAAATCAAATTCAAGCATCATAACTTATTTAAAAATGAAGCCAGCTACGTATACGTCAGAAACAAAACTAAGTACTTCGAAGGTCGAACCTACATTTAACAATAAATTTAAGAAACGGACATTGTGCTACATGTTTCCATATCTGTTCAACCGAATACAAGAACATCTGTTAAGCGGAAATAATACTAAGCGAACTAAAAAAGAAACCTTTAATTGGATACTTTCGCATGATTTTTCTTTTTTCTAACCTTATTGTATTATTTCTTTTATTCTACTAGTCACTCCAATCATTGATGCACGTCATATAATCCTCTGATTAACGCATAAATTTTGTTGTAATAAATTCCTATTCAAGCTATTATTCTTATTGTTGTTCATATGATTCTTTTCATACTTATTAATTATTTTATTCATTATCTTATAAATTATTACTTATATATTCATATCTTTACATAATCTTAATTATCGTTTATATTTTATTATATAATCTTATACATTGCCATTTAGTAACACGATGCGGGATTGTGGGGAGGTTAATGAACAATTTCTCACAAGTTTGAATGTCGGGGTTAGTGTTTTTTTCCCCAACTTTGCTGGACTACATGTGAAAATAACGAAATTATAAAGGCAAAACAGTACAATATTTTTATATTATGATATTATGATCAAATTATCTCGCGATTCAACTGGACAGCAGATGGGTATTCGTGAGTGTTTAGTACCTCATGAAATTAATTAATGTGATAAAGAAAACGTCCCATTTCTGAAAATTTTCTTAGATAAAAAGTTGTAGATTGTGATAATATGAAGCCATTGACGAAGTTTTAATAATTTATTAAAAAGGGGTCTTTACCGCGGACTAATATTTATTTTAACCTCCAGCACCAATAAAAAGCCCTCCCCTTCGGTAGTGAGCAAGAAAATTGAAGTTGAATTTTTAGTAGTATCTTCTTGAAACGGGTTCCGAATATATGTATTTTATTCCGTGTATATATATATATATATATATATATATATTATATATATATATATATAAAAGCTAGAAATTACCTTAAATATCAATCCTAGTACTACTTTTTTAGCTGTCATGTTAAACGACTCTTGCGTGATGTCAACGTTAGCTGAATGGGGCAGGAATACCATGTGCATTTCCATTGTAAATCTAAAAAAATAAATTAAATAAAATAATTTTATCATTTAATGTAAACTTACTAGATTTTACTGCCAAAATATAGAATTCTCATGTTATCTTATTTCAAGTTATAAAATATCTCAAGTTATGAATAAATCGACTTAACTAGAATACTTTGCTTACGAAGCATCACTTCAGCAAGAACTCATAAACTGGTTCCCATAATATAAATCCTACAGATATAAATAGTTAAAAAAGTTTTAAATACCCTCTGCTTTACTCAGGGGGAGTTGGGTAGCTCAGTGGTATGGTGCTGAACTTCCAATGCTGAAGGTCCCAGGTTCGAATCCCGACTCATGGAAGAAAAAATATTTATTCTAATTCATTGTCCGGGAGTCGACCCTGGGTAAGTAGCCCCTTCTGGGGCACACCCAGTCTCTATAAATTGTGTACCCTTAATTATAATAATTAATTAAGGGGAAAAAACTGGCGGTTAAATCACCTCCTTGCACAACCGTAGATCAAGAAATAGTGCTTTCTCTAAATAGTACTGAACCCAAGACCCTTTATGGGTTGTAGTGGAACAAGTTTTTTTTATTTTATTTTTTTTTTCTGCTTTACTCTAAATTAAACCATACTTTTTTTTTTCTTTTTTTTTAATGACATAAAGCATTCATTGAATCACTACCGATCTTTTGTAAAGTTGTGAGAATTAAGTTATGCGGTGTTTAATGAATTTATATGAGGATATAATTTTTTGGTTTATTATTTTCAATAATGAACCACTGTGATCGAAGAAAAGTTTCAGAAACTTAACCCCCTCACCAAATTTGAGGTTTTACATTTCAGGATACGTAGAATTCGAAAAACGAATAAAAATGTTTTTGTCCGTCCGCCGTCGGCGCATTTTTTCCGAAACAACTGGACCGATTTTTTCCAACTTGGTCTTCAGTGGTCAGAACTTTGGAAGTCAGAGATCACCCGAGGATGATCCTCCTACATCGATATTACTATCCGCCGTTTCATTTCAAGATGGCGGCCGAAAAACCTGTGCTGCAGTAGACTGTAGCGCCTAAACGAATGAACCGATTTCTATGAAACTTGCCTAAAGTCTTCTTCTCGACCCCCTTTGAATTTATCTATGCAAAATACTTTATTGAAAAGAAGCTGGTTACGTTAAGTTACGAGGGGTGGTAAAATTAGATTTCCGAATAACTCAATGAGGATATACTTTTTTGTTCATATTGTATATGGTTATTTAAAAATTTCCCAAAAATTAAAAAAAAATCGTTAAAATCGGACAATTTAGATCAAACATGTTTTCAGTTATGTTCTACTGCAAAGGCTATATTCTTATTTTTTTTTTGTTTTTGATTTTTTAATGTGTTGCTGAAGTAATACTATTTTTTCAAACAAATTATTAATAAAAAAAAAATGTTTAGGCCAATAATTGGAATCACCTTTTACTTCTTTTTCTTTGTTACTAGGAAGGTAATGTTACTTCAGATGTATAACGGTTTGGACATAATAAACCATTGTGAAATAATTTGCTGCGTTTTTTAATTACGAAACTATGAAAAAAACATCTATCAAGTAAGCTTCCTCACCATTTTCATTTGTTAAAAAACATCTATAGTACAAGGTGTAAAATTTTTCTTATAAGAATAAAATCTCTGAAAGAAGCCGTTTTCAAAAATTCAGTAATCCCCCAACATATACAGGCTTAATATTCACGGGTTTTGTTTATCAGCAAATACTAAAATGCGAAGGAATTCCGCATTTGCATATTGCATATTTGATGATTTGTAGTTTTAAAAAAAAATCCAGTGCATACTGAATATGCATATCGCTACTGTTAGTTCAAAATGTCGTATGTAAAAATTGAGTGTTTTACAGGAGAGCATAAAGAACAATTATTTCTTTATGGTTTATTAGAATAATTTTATATTTCCCTGCCCCCAGATATTTCCCACAGCAGTAGGACTACTTATATCAATTGGAGACTACATTTGAATACAAATTTAAAACTTTTACATACGACTTTTTGTATTAACAGTAGTGATATATACTTAATAGGCATGTTTTCATTCGTAAAATAGATGGAACAAAAAATCCGTAAGAAAAATTAAACTTTCTGTTTGTTTGGAGTTAACGAGACCAATACTTTTCTTCAGTCAGAACAAAACTAATTACGCTGGAATATAAAAATATTTGTGAAGTTCACAAAACTTTGATATTTAAGGAGATAATCGAGACCAAGACAAGCTCATTGAACTTTAATATAATTAAACACAATAAAAAAAATTATTTTTTTTAACGAACTCAGAGTAAAAATTAATTTAAATTAATGGAAAATTACACGAAATTTAAGTAACGGTAGTAAGTGTCATGCCAGTACGTTTGGAATCTACCAATCAATACAGTATAAATTAAATTTTTTAATAAAACCTAAAATTTTATTATCTAATAAAAATATTCTATTAACCTAACTCTCACTCCTTATGATAAATGCCTTCCACATTTTACAACCATTATATTGTTAACAAGTATTTATATTAATTTTAATTATTAAATTAAATTAATATTAGGTAATTTCTATACTATTCTCCAAATTTCCTCCAAGTTTGGGTCAAATCGAACGAACCGTTTTCAAACTATAGGTGTGTCAAATAGTACCTTTTTTGATCTGAAAGCGGGAGTATTTTTGTAAATAGTAGATAGAATTTGATATATTCTTGATTATCTGTTTATAAGTCCCTAACTTCACTCCAAATTTCAGCAAAATCGAACGTGCGGTTTTAGAATTATAGACGTATCAATGACAACACGTTTGCGCATATATAAGAGAAAGTAGAGGACGGAATTGAATAAAATTGATACTTCATTATTTTTTTTTATCAATACCTGCGTTTTTTCCAACTTTGAGCCAAATTGAACGAACCGTTTCTGAAATAATGGCATGTCCAAGAAAATACATTTACGCTTGCGCAAGCGTAAGTGCTGGATGGATTTTGATAAAATTGATATGGGAGCATCTAGACGCCAACCTTCACAATCTCTAAAAATTTCATGAAAATAGATAAACAGTAGTAGGTGATATGCCCGTTACACCGATTTGACAACAGACAGACAGACATACACTGAACCAAATTTGATCCTTGATGTTTGGAAGATAAAACGCGAATTAAAATTTTCGGTTCTGAGCACAAAATTTTGCACGAATACAAAGCTTCCCTACCTTCGGCAGTGAGGAAGCAAAATTATACACCTATTAAACATACCTTCGTCCATTTATTGTGTGCTCGCTTCCATCATTACGAGATTCTCCATAGTGTACATGAAAGTTTTGTAATATATATTTTCCAAAAAGTGGTCCATTCCATATTAAAACCTCTCCTCCCAATGATCCTATAACTATAACAAAAACACGTATATACCTTTTTTGTATAGTTGTCTTATTTTCTATGGTAAACCATTTGTTCTATTTTCAATTCATACATTCATTTTAACTAACGCGTAATGAGAATTTATTTTACAAAACGATAGAGTTTTTATGATAGTAATATCATTTTCTCAGCAGTAGTGTAATCTATGGAAGACAGACATTTTTTATATAAAAATTATACATTAATCCAGAGATATAGTAAATGACAGTGCAGTTAAAATATTTTAACTACACTGTCACCCACTTTTGTAGCTGTCATTCACTATATCTCTGATGTCATCTTATTATTTCTTTATCAGACAACTGTTTCTTATTTAATATCTAATTATAATTCATTTATTTTATTTTCACCATGTACCTTTTATATTTTGTATCTTTTGTAGCCCTGATGAAGACCTGCAAGGTGGGTCGAAACGTCGGCGAAACAATTAAAACACTATTTTTTAAAAAATTAGTATTTATTTGACCGCACCCTCCGACCAACTCCTTCTCATATAATATTATTAATTCACCATCATACCCTAATCGATGATTTATTGTTAAAGTGCGATGGTGTGGAATGATGAATCAGTTCAGGTAGGCTTCGTTGGGGAAATTTTACTATTTGACTATACTTGTCGACTATATACTTGACGACAAATTTATACACAATATATATTAAATCACTGAAGACTGAAAAAATGAATTAATAATTCATTATTAGATTGAATAATAAAATTATTGACTCTTTTCTACTTTGAGCACACCAATGACGCTATATTTTTCTCTTTTCGCCTCTCAAACACAGCGTCGCGTTTAAATATAGTTTTGAATAATACCTCATTATATAGAGGATGAAATGCTGAGCATTTTCTTTACTTACAGTATACAGTTCCGATTTCTAGTTTCTGAGATATTTCAATCCATTCGTTCAGCCAAACTCGTTCCCTTTTTGCCTGTTGTGGTGTCACGTTAATATACAATTTTGAGTAAAGCTCATTACAAAGAAGATAAAAGTCTGACAGAATGACAGTATGAAGGTTCAAGATTTTGTTTTTGACATATTTTAATCTAAATGTAAAAATATTTCAAAAATCCACCGGTGTGCTTAAAGTATAAAAGAGCCATAGAGAGATAATCAGAAAAGAATCTAGAGATGAAGAATAACGCCTAGAGCACATGTTTTTTGGGAGGGTTTTTTCTCTCATCCCATTATTTCTTTTAAAAAAATATTTGATTAAAATTTATTTAATTGTCGTTTATAAATGAGAGCAGAGAGTTTTAAGAGTATCGTGTTTGGCAGTATGTCAGGCCAAGGCGATATGTCGGACTACTTTGAAATGCAGAAGGGACTGCGCCAAGGAGATTGCTTGGCGTGTCTTCTATTTAACATTGCCCTCGAATGTGCCATTAGAGGATCCCAAATTCAGATTGGTGGAACGGTCTTTAATCATTCAGTGCAATTACTAGGGTTTGCCGATGACATTGCATTGGTTGGAAGAACAAGGGCAGATATACAAGATGCTTTCTTAGCGCTGCAAGGAGCAGCAGCGAGAATTGGCTTAAAGGTCAATGAGAAGAAAACGAAGTTTATGCGGGCCGACCCAAAGGGTGGAGATCACAGAGAGGCAAATGTAAAAATCGGAGAGATGATTTTTTAAGATGTCTCGGAATTTATATAACTTGGCTCGCAAGTTAATGTCAATAATGATATGAATCCTGAAATACAGAGGTGTATCATGGCCGCAAATAGAGCTTATTTAAGTCTCCAGACTTAAATAAGCTTAGAGACTTAGATGGGATGGTGGAGTGGAAGCTGACGCCCGAAGTATCCTTGGTGTCCACAACTGGAAGGCAGCAGCATTACTTGGAGAGGACTGGAGGTTGAAATTGCGGGAGGCCTTGACTCTATAAGAGTTGTAGAGCCATTCATGATGATGATCGTGTTTGGCAGTTGTATACTCCACGCTACCGTTGACTGAGACCACACCTCCAGTCGCCACCACACTACGGAGAAGAGTTTTTATTTTATGTTATTAGCTAAATGTGTACTTTTTTTCATTTTGTACAAAGTGAGCATATTTTCGTTCTTTATAACTGAAATTCTATTGCAGCTTAAATTTACTTGATTTTTTTATCAAGCATGTACCCCATTGTAATTATCTTTCATAACGATGGTTTTACTTGAGGTTTAATAAGCAAATACAAATAGTGTTTTGCGGCTATCTGGTTAAATGTGAGAATGTCTCGAAGTAGTCGAATATTAAGTCTTGAAGTGGACCCGAAGACGGACATACTTCGAGTAGGGCGAGTAGGGCGCCAAGATACTCACACTCAAAACTGTATTGGCGAGCGAAAATGCTTGTCATTTAGACGGCGTGTAAAGGATTGGTAAATAAATATCAAGATAAAACTTGTTATAGAGCCTTTAAGTTCATAACTCAAGTCTTACAAGAGCAGTAAAAGCTGACCAGGAGTCTCTAAATGGTTTTGGCCCGCGGGTCACATTTTGACTACGGCCGCAGTAAGATTGCCATTAAGTCCCGACGGTCATGGCTTGTGATGAAAAAAATAATGCTTTGTTCTATAAATGACTTTTATGTTGTTAAATGAGCTTTCTGACGCATACAATAAACGTTGTAGTAATCTTTCGTTTAACCGATTTACTAGGTTTCATATTTTTGAAATAGTTTTTAAAATTTTACCATATAATCAAAGAAACTTTCGCGGGCCGGATTAGAGGTGCTTGCTGGACGGATGCGTGGGTCGTAGTATGTGGACTCCTGCTGCAGACCACAATCTAAAAACTAATAAATGTCGCTAATTCAAATTTCTTTGGTGTATTATTATTGTCTTCTTGATTCTTCGTCCTTACGTTTAAGGAGACTTCTTTAAAGAGAATAATAATCTGCAAAGACTCCATCAATAATAATAACCCTTCAATAAAAATTAAAAACTTGGTCAAGTGATTTGACAACTCATTTCCACTCTGGCGTCGCTATGGTCCATGAAGGGCCTTGGCATCCTCAACAATTCTCCTCCACTTTCAGCGATCCTCTTTATCTCTTCTCCAATTCTATCACCTCCGCTTCCCCGCAGAAGGCGAAGGTCAGCCTCGAGATCATCCAACCACACTTCACTCTCTTACCACACAGGCGTCCCTCTATTCTCTTCCTTGGGGGTCTGTTCTGTTTCGTTCCATGTCCTAATAATATTTATACAGTTGTTTTTATTTATTCTGTATACACTTTCTGCATTTTACTGATTTGACAACTCACCAAAACTCTTAAAAGCGAAGTTGGCAGATCAATATCAACCGATTTTTTTTATCTAATTCTGACATGATGAAAGTGTGGATTATTGTTGGTTGCCAGCGAACTGTAATCTACTATTGTATGACTTGGTATCATTAAGCTTTCCAAAATGTTTTAGTATGACAGCAATAATTTATTGTTTTGCATGTCTACTTGTGGAATATGGTATAATCTGCTTATCACCGATTGCTGCGTGTATCATACCTTAGTTCTGAATGAATCCATACTATCAGCATCCGAAACGATATAAAGGTTCTATAACTCATCTTTGGTAAGCTCTTTAAAAGAATTGAAATCTGAATGAATATTGATTATAATACTCACCGTGGTAGCCAGAGTTTGTGATGACAGTCTTCCTCTCAGCATCGAACATTCCCTCGAAGCTAAGCCTCAGGTAATTGCACTTCTTGACTAGCCTCGTCTCTATGTTTATAGGAGAATCGTCTTCGTCCCCTTTTCGCTTATCTATCATAGTAGTACGTCTTACAAAAAAGATTTCTGCAAGTTCTCCAACCGATCCCGAATAATCGACCGACCTCGGTTCTTCCGTCGGTCTTGAAGTACTAGGTACCTTAGTTGATAAATGACTGGGCGAGTAAACTGGACGTTTCGAACGATATCTGTCGTAGTGGTCCATAATTTTCTTGTACATCTCCTGAAGGACTTTCATAGGTCTTAGTTTCTTTCCGACCCTCTTCATCATTTGCTCGGTCAGTTTTATTTCTAATTCGGTCTTAGGCAGTGAGATCTTCTTTTTTCCTTTACCACGTTTCCTCTTATCTCTAGTTTTCTTTTTCTTCCCTTTTGCCATTTTCACTAAACATAATTTTATGTAAAATATCGATTTTAAATTTATTTTAGATTTTCTATCAGCTGTTTTTATTTTAGCATTGTTCTAATGTAATGCAAAGAAATGTTATTAACCGTTCATATGCCCATAACCGCATCCGTTTTTCCAGAACTTTATTTTATATTCCGTGAGTAAAATTTTCAAAAAAATAAATTATCATTTGATTAAAAATAAGATAATGGAGCTAAAATTTCAGACTTACTTTTTGCAACATCATGGATTATTGCTAAAAATTAAGAAAGGTATGATTCTTGGGAATGTAAAGAGAATGAAGAAAAAAATCCAGCATGCTTCAGTAAAGTAAGGTGAATCAGTTGCAAGTTGCCACCCATCACCAATCACCCAGTTTGAGTTGAGAGATTAAGTGAATGATCATTCATTAAGATCCTGGATCCTGCAAAATGGGAAGATCATGGATGTATTACTCTCACAATTATTTTTATGAGCTTCATAAAAAATATAACTGTTGTACAATTGTCCATGGAGAGTCTTAGACCCAATAATTGGAAAAGAAGTACTGATTCTACCGCAGCGACTGTGCAAGAAGATGATTTGGCCTAGATGAAGGTCAAACACCAAGTTTTCCCCTTTATTAATTAATCGATTAAGAATATCAACGCTATAGAGGTTGGGATGTGCGCCAGGAATGTTTTTCATTACCAGAGTCGACCCACAGCTGATGTAACAGACTACCTAACTTGAAATGAGTTACCCAGTTCATTTTTACCAACATACATGTTTAATTTTTATTATAAATCTATTTTCAAGGAAGGAGATGGTCTGGGGTGGCGGTCATATATAGACTAAATAGTGGCAAAACTATTTTATTAAAACCCAACTTTCCAGGTCTTCTATAGGGCTAGAACCGACAAGATACAAAAAAGATATAGAGAACTGTGGAAGTTACATAATATTTAGACAAAAAATTATAAAACAATGTGAATAAACTTATTACAATTATAAATAGTAAGTACATTAAAATATAAACTAAGTAACAAGATCCTAAACTGAAGTAAATAGATGGTAACAATTGTTGTAGTATAATATATAATATAATATATGCAATTGTGAATATACTCCTAAAGATCTACTGGAGAGATTGAAAGAAAAAAAAAAAAATATATTATGAAATGATAAACATAAAGGGATGTGGAGAAAGAAAAAAAAAAGGAAACTATAAAATAAATAAATAATTAAATAAAATTAGAAGAATCAAAATAGAGACTTACAGGTGTGTTCAGCAAAGAGTTTCACTTAGAACTGAATAATCAGGATAAGATTAAGTATTGGGGAAATTTTTTGACCTGGTTGGGTAATGGTGAGGTTGGCTTTCAATAAAATAGTTTTGCCACTATTTAGTCTATTTATGACCGCCACCTATTTAGGACCATCTCCTTCCTTAATAATGCAACGGTCAACTATTAAATATTCAATAAATCTATTTTCGTTTATAATTAATAACTGATGTTATGTTAGTTGGTTATTTCATATAACTCAAAGACAAAACATTAAAAACCCTCCACAGCTGTTACATTATATTACCTTGTGTCATTTATTTATGTTTAATTTTATTTATCTATCTACCTCTAACTAGAGCAAAAAGAGTTATCTTACTTGGTAATCAACCCACACTAGCATGTTTTAATTCTTGTGTATATCTTGTTCTTACTTTGTTATTTTTCGGTCTGATTATTAGAGTTTTAGAGTTCATTTTATATATTATATATAGTTCTTACGTGTAATTATTGTCTCTTGAAGAATTGCTCATTTGAACAAAATAAAATTTATATACAATGAATGTATTTACTGTAGGGGAGAGCAGGAGCAAAAGTTCTAATTTTTAAACAACCTTAAATATTATTGAGGAAATAACCTATTAATAAAATTTGTGCTAGATTATAATTTGTACATATATTCTTCTTTATAAATCTGAAAGACTTTTAGGTGTACCTTTATGTTTTTGTTGAATGTTGTTTGGTTTTATATGAAATTTAGTGTACAGAAAAACAAACTGAAGTAATTTCTTAGTAACTCTGATGATTCGTACTACCTTTGATTGATACATATTTGAAGTCGAATGGGAAAGTTGAAAATTCCATATAGATAAGAAATGGTTACTGTTCCTTGTATTAATTCACAAATATTTCTTAATTCAAAGAAAATATTTTTCATAATCAATGATGTATATAACTCACCCCACAACTCTCCTCCCGCAGAAATAATATAAATCAAGAAAAGATAAACATACTCTTGATATATTTGAATATAGATGGTAATGCAAAAGTAGCCACTTCTTTGTATATAAACAAAAAAATAGGGTTTGGAAAAACAGATAAAATAAATATGTATCAAAATTCTCTGAGTATGCTAAGACTAATTTCTTCATAAACAAAAAAAATACATAATTCTTTTCGTCAAACATTTGAAAATTGAAGAATATGTGATTACTTAAAAGACTGTTTCTTAAAACTCCAATAATGGTGTTTTAAATAAATAAATTAAATTTCAAATACTTACTGCTGTGTAAAATATTATATGGTTTCTCCTAAATTTAAAATTTCAAGGAATTCCAATGTGTTCCATTATCATACTAAAATATAAGGTCTTTTAAGTGTTCATGCACCAGTTTTAAAATATTTAAAAAATGTTTATTACAACAGGTTTTAAATATAATAAAACCATTTAGTATTAACATTAACTATTTAATTAAAAACATATTTTTAATCATATAAACCATATAATAATGCAGCACAAATAATATAAAATAATATAAAACAATCAATGTACTGCACTAGTCAAAAGTATTTTTACACATTTTCATAATTTATAATTTACTATATTAAATTTATATTTTTTTTTAGTGGTATCTCCTTGGCATGTTTTTGTTGTTCATATTGTTCTTACTGTGGTATGCATAGCTAAAATGAGGCATAGTCAAGGGAAACGACTGAAGTAGATAGAAAAATCGTGGCATACATATCAGAACAATAAATCAGAAAAATAATAAACAGGCCTTCATCCTACCATAAAAGACATTCTAGTGAGCCAATATTTCTAATTTGAGAACAGGGTGCTCTAGAAATATTACTTGTGCACCCGAAAGATCCATTGTAAGAAAAGTGGAAAACAAAAAATAGGGGATAGAGCCTTAATTAGTGGATAATCATTTTGCTAAAAAACTGTTTCGATCATGCAATGACGTTTTCAAAATGATTTACTTCAAAAGAGCAACAAAAAAAAACCCTCTCACGAATCTAGCAACAAAAAAATGTATATGTGGGCCAAAAAATGTTATTAAAAATAGCAGTTATTTGACAGATATTAAATTGAAATGTTTAATAATAATGAAAATGATAGTAATGGCAACAAAGAATACAATCCTCCATATTAAACAAGGAGTTTAGTCATCCATGTTCTGAAATGGTACAAGTGCTGCTGGATTTATAAATGGTATAATAGATAAGATCAGCTATGTTGATCATTTAAGAAGAAATGACCCAATTAGTTATGTAAAATTAGATAAAAGAGAGAATTATATTAGCAGGACAATGACCCCAAATATATAGGCATGGAAAACCAAGTTGTGGATCCATTACAATGTACCAAAATTGATAGTAGCTCCATCTCAGCCCACCATCTGAAGTATCAAGTCAGAAAGCAGAAATGTACCTAATCTCCATAATTTAAAGAATAATAATATAATTATTGAATACTAGAACAAAATGTCTGCATATCTGATACAAAAATTAGTTAATTTACTGCCACAGCGTTTTTCATGTGTATTAAAAGCCAAATATGGTTCCACTAAATACTAATATAACTTTAACATGGTAATATAGTAAATTTGAGATTACAATACTGAAATTTATGAATACTTTTGACTTATGTTGTTCATCAATTATTTTAAATAATTTATTCTACAGCAATATTATTTGTTTTATAAGAACAAAAATATGTTTTTATATTAATATTAAACCATTAATGCTAACAAAATGTGTTAATGTAACTATTAAATGTTTTATTTTTATTTTTAGTTAGCTCCTACTAATAACAGAAATATATTTTATTTTATATATTTTGTATCTGGTGTAATGAATACTTCAGATCCTGATTGTATAAGTAAACTATTTACCTTACTACCAAACATTTTAATCATGTTTTGATTTATTTTTACTGTACAATTGTTTTTAAAATGTAATTTATTTTTAAAAATACCAATATAAAGCATGAATGTTTGTTTATGGAAACTCCTCGTTAATAAACAGAAAACATGAATGTTTTATAAAAACAAAACATATGTTTCAGTATAAATTTATTTTGGCATGTTTCTATAGTTACAAAATGTTCATTTACATTTACATATTCAAAATATAACTAACCTACTTGCTATCTTTGGGTCATTAAAGAAATTATTTAAAATATTATAAACGAGTATACAGACAGGTTTCATAAAGTTAATATGTACAAACTAAATTTCTTCATATGTTATGATATAATGACATTATTTTTTAAAATACTGATAAGTTAAAAATAAATAGAATTGTTGACAATTTAATAACAGATACCAATTTTTGAACATAACACAATACAACAAAACGATGGCACTTTTGAAAAAGTATATATTTTTAGAAAGGATTCAGAATTTTTCCTTTTGAATTTCTGTTTATAGTTATAAGATTAATACAACAGAATAGATACATTAATAATTTATTAATGCATAAAAGTAATAATATAACTTTTATTTTATAGAACTTAGATGTTTCAGAGTCAAATATATGTTAATTTAATTTTAAAATGTTGTTGTTCTATTAATAACATCTCAAATACTGATATTTCGTCTGACATATGAAAAGTATATGGAAACTGAAATGTATTGATTATCAAATATAAGTTATTAGTACAGTCAAATAAACTAATAATGGTAATTAGCACTAATTTCCACTTCATAAATGAGTCTATATTAGCATTTTGATTTGTAAGAGGGCTACATTAATTAGTAAACAAAGTTAATTTTATTATATAATTATTGCTTTTAAAATATTAATTCGGCACAAAGTTTTAATGAGCTTTTTGTACTTGTCATAACAGTCACTTGAATATATGTTACAGTTTGTCAATTTTAATAAATATAAAATAAAAATAATACATTTCATAAAGAATTTGTAATAAAAAAAATATTAGAATCAGAAAGAAGTATTATGTATCACGTTTCATAAAACATATTATATTCATTATCACAAACGAAGCTACTAAAATGATTTTGTTTTTACGAAACTCCTTGCTGACCAGTTTACAAATTACTTATAAAAAATCTTAAGCATTGATAGGACTTATGAAGAAATGGCCTTTCAAACCACTGTTCCCATATTTTTTATGAACATGATCCACAAATTTCTTATAAATAAGAAATTTAGTGGGATTTGAACTGAATTCATTCCCTCCCTCATTGTTTTAAAATAAATTACAACTATAAATGTAAATTTTTTACAGATTATTTGCTAAGGAACAGTTATTTTCTTTGTTTACTTTATTATGTATATTCTTGTAGTGTGTGATAAAAATCAGTAACTAATTTCAGTTTCATTTAAAAACAAATGAAATTTCAACAACTCCTGTTTCAAATGCCAATCTTTTTTTATTTATTTATTAATTCATTTGGTACTCTAGACTACTTAGGCCTGAGTTTCAATCTTTTTTTCAAAGTTTTTCAATTGTTAGTCTTTATTTAATTGTCAATCCTTATGGATTCCATACATTTTTTCCCTTATAAAGTGAGAGATACATCAACCAATAGAATATGAGGTAATTATGTTATTTTAAATTCTAATTCGCTATAATTAAAAATATATGTGACATAGTGGAAGTGGAAGCGATTTTAGACACTAATTCAAAAGTTTTCAATAATTCAAAATAATTTTTATTTTATATCTGGTATCAACTTAGTATTTATTAAAACTTTATAGAAAGTAATTTAAATTCAAAAATTGTTTATAATCGTCTTAAATATTTAAAATCCTCAAGGTAGTATCCTTGGTCCTATCCTTTATACAGCTGAATCCCAACCCATCCTGACACTGTTATCACCACGTATGCTGATGACACGTGTATCCTATCTGTTAATAATGATCCATCAACTGCATCCCAAACTCTCCAATCACATATAACAAACCTTGAAGGATGGTGTAAAAACTGGAGAATTAAAATAAATTCCAATAAATCCCATCAAATTACCTTTAGCCTGCGTCGCAAACCTATGACCTTCTGTCCTACAGTATCCTTTAACAATTCCCCACTTATCCCAGTTGAACAAATCCGTTACCTAGGACTCCACCTGAACAAATGACTCACATGGGATCCTCATACAAGACTGAAACGACAAGAAACCACTCGACGTTTCCGACTACTCCAGCACTTACTAGGAAAACGCTCTAAGCTTTCAATCGATTATAAAAGACTCATACATGTGACAATAATAAGACCTATTTGGACTGACAGAATTTAGCTTTGGGGTTCCACTAAACCATCAAATTCCTCTCGTATCCAATTCTTATAATCCCAAATCCTTCATAAAATCCTCAACGCCCCTTACTTTGTCACAAATAAAATCATACATAAAGACCTTAAATGTTCCGTATGTTTCCGATTTATCCCGATCCAGATACCTATCCTTCCATAACAAACTACAGAACCCTCCGAACCCTGTTGTTTCAAACCTTGCTTCCTCAACGATCCCTGATAATCCTCCGAGGTGTCTGAAAAGAATGTGGCCTCGTGATCTTCTTATGTAAATTTAATATTTGAGTACTATCAGTGGGTAATTTCTCAACAAGCGATTTCATGTTATTATATTCCTAAGTGCACATTTACTAGTTGCATTTTTTTAATATAATACAGTTGTAAATATCAATGAATAAAATATATATATATATTTAAACAGTTTAATATATATTTGATTTTATTATTTGCTGTGCTGACTGGTAAATCTTCAAGGGATAGACCGAAGCGAAGGTAGGAAGATTGTATTAAGGCCAATCTGAAGGGACTGGGTTTGGACAGCAACCGATGGAGGGTGGTGTGTAGAGAGCGATTGGTGGTGCCGGCATAGAACCTTCGGGTTCACTAAGCCTTTATTACTATATATTTGATTATGATATTTCCTTACAAAGAAAAGGAAATCTGAAGAATCTATGGATATGAATTTTAATTTTCCTACTTCCTAAAATGTTTCAAAATAATCCATTTTATAAAATTATCACAGATTAAAAACAATTTTGTAATTCATGTCTTTTTTCTTTTTTTTTTTTTTTGTCTTCTTCCTCGCCTTTTCAGGGGGTGAGGGCTGGTAATTAATGCCAAAGTTGAAAGCCCTCCTTCCCCCAGGCAACGGCACGCGAACTAGTAATTATTTTAACCAAATAAATCTTTGATCCAGGTCTCCAGGAAACGTGCGGTGCTGTAAAAATGCATTAGCCAATTCAACAACCCAAATTCAAGTCACGTGAACAATTAATGATAATTTTCATTTTACAAAATTTAGAGAGAAGCTATTGCAATTTCCCGAACTCCTTCAGTAATCTAAGCACCTCCTTCCAGCAATTAGTTCATTTTACTGATATTGAATGGTATTAAATTATTTTTGCCAATGGTTTATTTTATTTTTGTTTAAAGATGTCAAAAATGTTTATCTGATTCAATTCCTGGTTAGCGCATTGATATTTAATTTCATAAATTTAAAGTACAAACAATAAGATTCTTCATCACTTTCACTAAATCACACTTTGTTAATACTTAATAGTTTTACGTTCTTATCAAATAATTATAATGTACAAAATATAATAAATAATATCATTCTATAATAAATCTATTCTAAACGAATGATCTAGATTATTTCAAATTTTAATAATTATTTTATCATTGATAAAAAGCACAATGATGAACTTATTTACAGCTTCACATAATAAATATTTTTGGTTTTCACTTAAGTTCTTTAAATATCTTTAATGTTTTTTGTTGTTTTCACAATTAATTTGAACATGTCTCTTTGCTCTTATATCTTTTCATGTTATCTATCTTCCTTGTCCCTGAAAATTTTGTACAATTTCACCTGTTGTCACTGAATGCAATACTGTGCATTTCAAACCAGAAACAAAGAAGTGAAATTATTTAGATTTTTTTTTTTTTACATTTAGATCACAAAGTTTTATGATCATGGACCTAGTCAAAAGGACAGGAGTGTATATGACTTATAGAGACGCAGTAGGTTCCTCTCGCTCTGAGAAAAAAATAAAATTAATTAATAACGTAACTAAAATTACAAAAACAAAAGTACATAATACTATGCTTAGTTCTTTACCATGGATATATTTTTATTAATTTAATCCTGATAAACACATTATAAATCTTATACCTACATTACGTTAAATAAGCTTGCTTGCTATCAGTTTTTTTTTTGTTTTTTTTCAGCTTCTAAACCACAAGATTTATACAAATTTTAATTATACAATATTCCTTATGTCTACTTTATAGAATTCAGGATATCAACTTTATTTGAAATATAATTGCAGACAGGACCCTTCATGTGAAATGAAATGAAATAAAAATATGTTTTTATTATCCTAGGACTGTTGTTCCTTTAGGAAAAATTATAGTTACAGAAGAAATGCCGTGTGGCCATACATTAAATTATATATTTACGAATCTCATTAAAGTTAAAATATTAGAAGAAGAGAAAAACAAAAACAAAAAAATACTATATATATATATATATATATATATATATATATATATATATATATAAACAAACATGGGAAAATAAAATAACAAGTGAACAAGATCATTTCTGGAGTAACTTAGAAAGTTACCTTACCTACATTTCATGATCAATCGGGTTGGGAAAGGAGTAGGTGGTTAAAAAGGAGAGATTTAAATGAGGAAACTGATTGTGCATGTCGGATATCAGGAGGGATGGTATTCCAGAAGGAGATGGCTTGAATTATAAAGGATTTGCCAAACTCAGCAGTTCAGTGAGGAAGTCGATAGAAGTCGGAAATATGGAATCTAATGGGATGTGATTGAATGGAATATTTAAATTGTAGGCTGTGAAAAATATAGGAAGGTCGCTGAGTTCTGATGGCTTGGTATAGAAAGGTAGCAAGGAAGTACAGACAGCAATTGGATGGATAGAGCCATTTCAACTTGGTGTAATGTGGGAAAATAGGGAGGTGGGGACGGCACTTAGACCCTATAAAAGTGATAGGATCTTATGATTAATTTTTCCTATTTTTAATTAATAGTTTGTTTCCAATAAAATATGTTTGTTATGGAGATGGTCCTCTCCTAGTGTATAAGGGAAGAATTCTCCTTATTTCTACTTCAGGATAGTGGAACTGTATATGAGTTGTCTCAGGCCAATGAGTGTTGATATTTTCTGAGACTAAACAATCCAAAAATGGTGCTACGACGGATGGATGATGGCCAGGGTTGGTTCTAGATGGAATGGTTGATAGGTTAATAGCACCACATTAAAGAATACCAGTTTTAGGGACTTATCCTTCTTTTGCACCACCAAAGCTATGCTAGTAAGTGTCTCAAGCCCTTCCTTTTGGTCCAGATGAATGCTTTCGGGCCGGAAACAGCTACCATTTGTTTCCGATCTCACATGTCAAGATACACAAAGTCTAAGGATGTCGAAGCCGTGCAAGCAGCATCACTATTTTTCTACCTGTTCCTTCTAATAATTAATATCGTTTCTCATATAAGTTGCAAACCCGGCTTTGCATTAAGCATCATCTTAAGTTGAGTTACTGGATTCTTACAACTTTCCTTTCAAGAAGTAAGCTACACAGCCACTTACATCAATGTACTACTAACAGATTTCTGCCAACTCACTTGGCAAATTTTGCTTCACCCATATTGCAGAATTTGAAATAAATTAACTATTTTCTTACTTCAATGTTTCAATGTTGAATCTTTCTTTGTTTGATTAATCAAAACAATCATATGAATATAATAAATATTAGGGGTTATTGTATTAATTGAAGATATTTTTCAGAGTTGTAGACAGTAGATAGCTGGAAGTATTCCTGTTTTCCCATTCTTCCACATATTGGCCTCCAGTGATTGCCAAGGTATAGTTTTATCTCTAGAAGCATTACCAGTTAGTTTCATTTCATTCTATTACTATCAGTCCTATCCCTGAGATTGAATGGATAGTAAATGCCAATTAATATAGTTGTCCATTCAGGGATATCGACTATTGTCTTCATATCCAAATACAGATAAAAAATTACTTACGGACTACTGATAATATTATGCTTACGTATCTGGTGTATGCTCGCCCATAGGAACTGAAATCCCCTCCAGTCCTGGTATCCGTTTACATGATTTTGTACACGGAACACCTCTAAATTGTTTTCCACTTTCTCCAGTGGTGTCAGCCAGATAGCACGCACTCATAAAATGACTGCATCTTGCTTGCCCTAAATTAAAATATATATACATTAATATATATTTTTCCATTTATACTGCTTAATTTTTTATTATAACAATATGCCACATTTAGGGAATTTCATGATATGAAATTTTTCCACCTCATATCCAAAACACTTTCATATTCACTGCTACATTCAATAAAATACAGAATTATAATCATAGAAATAACAGAACTTAAACAATTAATGTATAACTTTTATGGCATCTTGCCTATCTAATACTTTAAAAAACTATTTTATATTTTAACTTATTTATTTTTACAGCATGTTTGCCTTTTAAATCCCATGAATTGATTATAATTTTTAATTATCAGCCGATTATAAAAGAAGAGTTTGATTATGAATCTTTAGCCTTTCGTTTTAATAAAACTTTTTTTTTAGTTTATTATTTTTTTTTTTAGCTTGAATATGGGCCTCTTTATTTCTCAAAACCTTAATTATTCAATAATGTTTCAAACTTAAAGTAATTTACACAGGAAAATATCATTGACTTGCATACTTTTCAAGCCACATTGTATATGTTAATATATTTCTATTACAAAATAAAATAAAGAAAAAAGAAAAGAAACTAGTCAACATATAGATGTAATATATCAGCTAAAGTTAGCAAAAAATATTAACCCATAACTGTTTATAGATCAAACAAACATTATTGTTAATTTTTAAGCAGTTTAAAAATGTAAAGTTCCAAATGTTGTATAATAACTTCAAACATGAAAATATAACAAACTGCTATGAATCTACCAAATATTTGATAGCTTCTAATTCACAGAGATTCTTCATTATTTTATTACAGGCTGTAATTAAGATTCTTTTCAGGAAGGGCAAGGGATAATTTTGCCATCCCTTCTTTCATATACTGTCACCTGCCAATAAAAGTCAACATCTTATAACAATACTTAAAGTAACATATTTTTAATTAAATTCTTTTACTTGAGCTGAAAAAATCGATAAAAAATTGCCACAAGCTAAATTCTGTCCCTTTTGATTTCCCTCTTAGTTCCAACCTTGTCTGACAACTATCAGCACTGAAGATGTTTTAACCAGTTCAATACTCATATTAAGTACTTATATATTAAACAAAAGTATAGATTATGAAAAAATATCATCAAATTCAGGTCAATGACCGTTTAATTTTAGTAATACTTTTCTGTGTAACAACAGTATCATATGACTGCTTTGCTTCTTCATGATTTTGGGAAGAGAAAACTCACGTGAAGAGGGGCTATTTTTTAAGCAATATGATAATAACTTTCACATCATTCAACAAGAGTACCCCTCTTATGTCACAAGGAAAATTGACAATAGCTCTTGTTTTCATTGAGCTGCTCATTACTGAACAAAACAGAAGGAAATGTTTTTTTCAGAACCTGTGGCTCTAAAGGCTTGTTAAAAAAACTTTATAAATATACTCCTTTTTCCTGTTTTCTGGGAAGTTGTATGATATCCTTTGTTATTTGGTAATGATTACTTCCAATTAACAACAATTTAATTTATTTGTTGTATTATCAAAATTGCATGTTTACAAGTTTACGTTTCGAGATATTTACTCCCATCTTCAGAACCACAATCCCAATGATCTTGTGGATAGATGGCTAAAAAAAAAAATTGAGTTAAAATATAGTGCATGTTACAATACATGTCAGAATTGGGTTGTTATAATAAATTTGTAATTACCTTTAAACTAATGTGCTCCATCGTCAGTTTCTAATTCATGTTATAATAAATCTAGGTATATAACATCTAGAGCAACATCTTGTTTTTAGACTAATTATTGGGTGTCTGCCATAGTGAATACAATTGACCTTTGGATATGACTGTTTATTTTTATACTATTGTTGTTAATGTTTATCTTTTATCTATGTGCAATTCTTATTAAATTGCATTTTTATTAAATTTTAATCATTTTCATTAAATTTTAATTTTGTTTAATATGTCAGCATAATGTGTTCCTAAATGTTTAGTGTCTGTTTTATAATTTACTGTTGTTCTATTGTTTTTTTGTGATGTGTATGGCTTCAAGTAATTTCCTATTGGTGTTTTTTGGTTCTGTGCCTAATATCTGTGGTTTATTGAAGTTAAATTTAAGCTGTAATCTTATGCTATGATGTGCTAAAGCTGTTGTGTTTATGTTTTTTGTATTTTTACAGTTAGTAATATGTTGTGAAATTCTGGTCCCTAATTGCTTGGATATTTCACCAATGTAGATGTTGGGGCAGTTTTGACAATTTAATTTTTATATTAGATTTTTCTTGTTTATTAAGTCTATTTTATCCTTTGTATTGGTGATGTGCCTGCTCAGTTTTTTTATTATTATATTGCCCGAGTTTAATTTCTGTTATGTCATAATTTTTGAACACGTCTTTAATTTTGTTAGTAAGTTCGGCTATATATGTCATTTTGTAGTAGTAGTTAAAGTCCATTTTGTTTGTTTGTGACATGTTGTCCTGATTGTTCTCGTTTGTTCGATTTGTTTTTTCAAAAAATTGGGTGATGAATTGTTGTGTAGGTTTCTTTATTGTAATGTGTGTGTTTTGGTGTCTTTTGTATTGTTTACTTTTTGGTTTTATTTTCATTATGGTTTAGTGTTGTATGTAATCAACTGTACCTAGTTTGTTGATTAAGTTTATAGGGTAAAAGTTCTCGATAAGTATTTTATATGTTTCTGTTTTTACTTGTGGAATGTAAGGTTTGTCAGTAAGTTCTATTGATTTGTGTATTAGGTCCTTGGCTGTATTAATTATTTGATGTTTGGGGTGTTTTGAGCTAAAGTTAAGAATTCTATTACTGGTTTTCTCTTTTTTTGTCCATTTGGTAAGTATCTGTTCTTTGTTCAAAGTTATGTCCATGACCAAAAATCTGAGTCTGCTGTTTGTGGCTTTTTCTATTGTAAATCTGATTCTTTTGTTATACTGGTTGAAGCTTTTCATTGTTTCATTTTTTGAATCTTTTTTTATTCTATGGAATTGTGGTTCTGAAGACAGGAGTAAATATCCGGAAACGAATTTCCCAACATATTACTAACTGTAAAAATACAAAAAACATAAACACAACAGCTTTAGCACATCACAGCATAAATAAATTTAACTTCAATAAACCACAGACATTAGGCACAGAACCAAAAAACATCAATAGGAAATTACTTGAAGCCATACACATCACAAAAAATAATAGAACAACAGTAAATTATAAAACAGACTCTAAACATTCAGGAACACATTATGTGGACATATTAAACAAAATTAAAATGAAATTTCAGATACATAAAAAAAAACATTAACAACAATAATATAAATATAAACAGTCATATCCAAAGGTCAATTGTATTCACTATGGCATACACCCAATAATTAGTCTAAAAGCAAGTTGTTGCTCTAGACGTTATATACCTAGATTTATTATAAAATTAATTAGAAACTGACGATAGAGCACATTAGTTTTAAGGTAATTACAAATTTATTGCAACAACCAAATTCTGACATGTATTGTAACATGCATTATATTTTAACTCTATAATCTAATCTAATCTAATTCACAAGATCATTGGGATTGTCGTTCTGAAGATGGGAGTAAATATCCCGAAACGTAAACTTGTAAACATGCAATTTTGATAATACAACAAATAAATTCAATTGTTGTTAATTGAAAGTAATCATTGCCAAATAACAAAAAAAAAAATTATAAATAAAGTTGTTTTATGAAAAATCTACTTCTAATTAAAAATAAACATTGCACCGAATAGTATGTTTGGTCTTTTGTTGTATACTAACTTATCCTCTTGCCAACGTTAGCGCAGGAAGGCTGCATCCGTCCTCCGTTAACACAGAAGTCGATATGGCCAACCTGTGGCAGCTCTCCCAGTAGCCCTGCGTTGGTGTGGATGACCTGGACCACATGAGCATCATCCCGAGTCAACCTGAAGCTGCGACCGCCGTACCTATCCACTAGAGGCCTGGCCGGATCCAGTCCTGCATCAACGACAGACATTAAAACGAAGTACAACTAAGGAGGATCATGTGAGACAAATGCTTACCAATTATCTTGTACATCTTGTGGGAGAGGTGGTTGCTCATCATCCCGCAGATGTGGGCCCCCAAAGAGTGGCCGACGCAGATCGTGTCTTCGGAAGTGGCGCCGTTGTGAGTGAGGTAGCTGTAGAACTGAGCGGAGCACTGAGCCACCAGCCGGGTGTTGCTGATCGAGGAGAGGTAGCAAGGGAACCTCCCGATACCCTCCCAGTCCACTGTGAACACGTTGTAGTCCCCTCGTCGGATATATGCTGGAAAGGAGTATGCTGTTACAAAAATATATTTCTTGCGAAGAGATGATTAGTGAGATAATAATAACCCTTTTACTTGGAAGGAATCTTAAATCTCCTTATGGGAACAGTCCAACATTATAAAATCTTCAATTCATGTTCCACTCACTAGCGGATCCAGGATTTATTTTTTGGGGGGGAGGGGGAGGGCTTCAGCCCGAAAGTTTTTTTTTTCATAAAAATAACGATAATTACTTTGGAAAAGAAGAAAGAAACTAACTACCTGTATGAAATGGTGTTTAAATGATTCCTAAAGCCCTTTTAAATGTAATTACACGAACAATAATACATTAAGAGATACTTTTTTAATATTTTTTTTGATAAAACACGGTTATACTTTACCATTTTGGGGGGGACTTCAGCCCGAAAGCTCCCCCCCCCCCCCTAGATCCGCCCGTGGTTCCACTTAACATTTTGGTTTATTATTTTCAATAATCAACCATTGTGATCGAACAAAATTCAAAAACTTAACCCCCCTTAAAATTTGAGGTTTCACGTTTCAGGATACGTAGAATTCTAAAAACGAATGAAATTTTTTGGTCCTAATTTTTTGGTCTACGCACTTTTTTCGAAACTACTGGACTTTTTTTTCCAAATTTGGTTTTAAAATTAGAGGTCACCCGAGGATTATCCTCCTTCATCGATATTAGTATCCGCCTTTTACTTTCAAAATGGCGGCCGAAAAACTTGCGTTGCTATAGACTGTAGCTCCTATACGAATGTACCGAGAAAAAAAAATTGGACAATTAGGAGCAAAGATATGGTCTCCAGTTTTTTTATATGTTCTACTCCAATCGTTATATCCTTTCTTTGGTTTTAAAATTTTGAATGTGTTACTGAAGTAATGCTATTTTTTTTTTTTTTTTAGCATATTACTAATGATTAAAAAAAAAAAGTTTAGTCCAATAATTAGAATCACCTTTTATTTATTTTTCTTTGTAACTAGGAAGGTAATGTTACTTTAGATGTATAATTGTTTGGAAATAATAAACCATTGTAAAATAATTTGCAGCTTTTTTTCTTAAGATTTGCTGAAGAATTTTTTGTGTTTAATATAGTTTCCTGCTAAATTTTACACAAATTTCCTTGATAATTATTCGGTCTTAAGAATACGAGAGAATGTTCTAGGCAATCACTAGACATGAGCTATGAGCATCTCTCTATTCGTTGATTTTAATACTTAAACCACAATCTCTTCTTCCCAAACCGCAGATATATCATTATTTTCTTCATACCAAACCTTGAATGCTATGTATGGCAGCATTGCATTTCAAAGCCACACAAAACACTATTCTACTGTGTACATTCGCATACTTTGTTGGCAAAAAATAAAAAAAAAAGTAAAGAAAGAAGAAAACATCTATCTTTTTATATTGTCGTTGAAAATGTACTTTGTACATATTTATGCTCTAACAAATAGTCTGAACAAACTAACGCGTATTTTGCAACGCAATATACTTCTGGGTAACATTTCATTGAAACGTTTAGGTGTTTCTCGCTTTGAAGCTTTAAAAGCTTTATAAAAAAATGGAGTCATTTAATTTAGATTTATAAATAGTTTACGGAAGCTCATGCATTTGTGAGTATACAAGATGGAATTCTGATAATTAGAAAACTAGACATATTACCTATATATTCTTATCTATAAAATAAAAATAAAATAAAAAACAATTATTGCTTATGAGATTTCTTAAAATGTTTTGTTGTAATGTGGTGATGAACTGTTCTTAATCAATTTATCTTTTTCGGTTTAGGTTGTTTCTATCTTGCGGCGGGGTGTCCAAGTGGACCACATGCGGCCAGGCACGCGCGTTGTAATTTGATGAATCGAAGTTTTCATGATAAAATTATTACTCGTGTTCCGAGAATTAATCCCTCGCTCTTTGCCCTGGTCCGGAAAAAAAACGTATAGCTTAAAAGGCAAGGAAGGTGTGCACAAAAAAAAAAGTTGTCTTTCTAGAAGATGCATGAATTGGCCAAACGTTGTCAGATTAGTTTGTTTACCTACATTTTAGATTCGTGTTTGACTTTTTCCACTTATAAACTATATTTAATTTATGAATCTTTACTTGAGTATTTACTTTTTGTTGTTAATGTTTCTTATTGAACAGCCATTTAGGCACTGTTTTTTTGTCATGGATATTACATATCTGTATTGTAAATTTATTTATATAGATTATATGGCTGATGGCCTTATTTCGTGTACTTTATTCGGGAATCGCTTTGTGGTTTTCAAGGATGTCGAATAGTCTCCCGAAGGTCTTTGTATTTATAATTAGGAGAAGAAATATAAGTTCTCGTGATCTTACTGATGTAGAACGCCCCAAATCCACGGATGTAAACTGATGTATCACTGTTCTTAAACTCGAGTGAGTAGATGAGAAGATCGCTTTTGAGCTTAAGCCCTTCTGTCCCAAAATACTTATTTGTTTCTCTGAGTGATATGAGCTCAATTTTCATCATAACTACTCGATTTAAATTATAATGTATGTATTTAAGCTATTATATCTAATCGCGTTTAGGAATAAATCTATCGGAAATATATCATATATATTAGGAGAGAGAATAACTTTATTATCATAAAATGGCGCTGCCCAATTACATTGGGTTACTAAAAAAAATATATCAGGAAAAAAATATAAAAGATTTATCCTTGAAAGCATTATTGTTTCTGTAATCAGATTTTTTATTTTTATTTTTTTCAGACCACCAATCACCAATTAATTATATATAGTCTCTTTATTTTTCTCTTAGTTTAACTGCTTTTATTAAAAAAATCCAAACCCCTCAAAAATCAAATCCTGGATTCGCTAATCGATGCAGCTAAGGTTCCTCAGATTCTCCAAGCACAACTTGACGAAATATTCCTTACACAATTCTGAAAAAGTATGATATTTGAATCTTTGCCCGGATATAAGATTGATATAAACAAACTACATAAGGTAGAAAAGAAACTAACTTAATAAAGAATACGATTTATTTTCAGAATTCTTGGCAGACGTGCAAACTATCACTGACTAATCTTTTTTTTTGACAGATATTCAAGGATTATTTTTTATTTTATATAGTTTTATAGATATTTATATGTCTTTCAAAGTAATTACAATTATTAAAAACTAAGCTCCCACCAAACTAAATTAAATCCTGGAACCGCTACTGTTGCTACGAACATTCTTAGCTCATGATAAAAAATTAGTTATATTTCTGCTGTAATGAATAGAAAAATTTGTAGTTATATTTAATTTTTAAAACAAATGACGACTTGTTTCGGTGCGTCGCTCGTTCATTGCAGTTTTAATCTCAGTCTGTTAGTGCGAATTATCGGTCTATAATGGCAGACTACGTTTTTAATTAAAAAACAATATAGAAGAATCAGATAGCAAAATATAAACCTTCTGAAATAGGTAAATTTTGACGCATGAAAGTGCAATTTAGTTTATTTGAGACTGCCGATAGATTCCTGTGGTCAAAATTATTTCATACTTATATAACATACATAAACTGTGGTTAAAATTTCAAGGTTTCTAACATTGGTGAAGTCATTTGTCGCAATTTCTTTATTATAGCCCGTCAAAGCATTGGCGTAGAAACGGCAGACTGTTAAAAAAACGACATCTATTATGAGAAAGCTTCATTCATCAAAGTTATTTCATCTATTGAATCTATGGAAATTTCATTTATCGTGAAATGAGGATCACTTTCGACAAGTTTGGATTTCTTTGCACGACATCCATTTTTGGATTGGAGTGGATATTTTGGACAACAGTGGCTCTGGAATGGTAGACAAGCCTTATTTTACTTAGAATGATATACGCTTTCATAATCCACATTTAAATCTTCTCCTGAAATGAATACCCTTTTTTGGCCTTGAATCCAGAATTATATGGTTAGGAGCAGCGTAAGATTGGACACACTCCAGGCTATTTGTACTTCTACGATCAATAAATGTAAGAATGCTGCATCACACGGTCGTAGATCTTCTTGGCCTGCAATGCCAATACATATAAACAACACAACAGTCAAGGACTTATATATATATATATGGATAGCAAATCCATGTAATAATGGAGCATATATATATATATATATATATATATATACTGTATGCTTCATTATTACATGGATTTGCTCATCATTATCGTATGCTTTTACATTGGTATCATGGATTTGGGGTGCTAATTTAATAGTTATTTAATGTTAATAAAGTTAATAATAGTCCACTGCTTATAAACTATAATTTTTTAACAGCTAATAATTGCTTATAAACTTTCTTTCCGGACAGGCTTCTCTCCGCGTTTTTGTGCTGGCGGAGAAAGGTTGTTATCGAAAGTTTAGCCTAGGTAATGAGCAGTTCTCCTCTGACCGCACATAACAGCTCCGGGTTCATCGAGATCAATTCCAGAAGAGCATAGAAATCGTCGTAAGCGACACTTTACTGTATGGACGGACACTTTCTCTCTCATAAGTCTAATTAATGGGACGGTTGTATGGCTGTTACAGTATCTGAATACCAGCAGTATATCACTGTATTTCCTATTCGTACGCAGCAGTACAATGGTCGTATTGTCCGGGGGGGGAGAGGGCTTTCGGGCTGAAGCCATCCCCCCAAAATGGTAAAATATAACCATGGTTTATAGAAAAAAAAATTACTAAAATATTATTAAAACATACCTCTTAAAATATTATTGTTCGTGTAATTACATTTAAAAAGATTTAAGGAATCACTTAAACACTATGTCATATAGGTGGTTAGTTTCTTTCTGCTTATCCAAAGCATAATTATCGTTATTTTTATGAAGAAAAAAAAAAGGTTTCGGGCTACAGCCCTCTCCCCCCAAAATTAAATCCTCTGGATCCTCCAGTGGACCTTAAAAAAATTTAATCACAGTTTTCTTAAAGTAAATATTGTCGATTTACGATGATGCACTTAGAATTTAATTATCATGGACAGTTTTTGAGAAATTCCTTTTTGTTCAATCAAGAACGTGAACACCTTAAGAAAGAAAAAAAATTGATCTCGACTCCTTTTCCGTTCAGAATCAGGCCATGTATCAAATGAACTTTTTTGTTGGAATTTTTGTCTAGAATCATTCCCCAGAGTTTGGTCATTAAGAAATGAGACTCCTTATGATAGATAGATAGAAAAAAAAAAACTTTATTCTGGGACTAAGTCCCTATAGAATAATAATATTGTATAAAAGAATAGAATATTACTGGCCTAAAAGTTTGAAACAAAAAATAAGATTGATAAAATAAAATAAAAAGTAAAGAAAACCTTAGGTGCACAAACTATATACAATACAGACAAAACTATGTACAGAGCATTTAAAACTATGGACAAAACAATTAAAACTATGAACGAATCACTTGAACTAAGAACAAAACTATATGGGTTGAACAACATAAACATACACTTTAAGAAATGAAAAACGAAAAAGAGATAGAATAAGATCATTTCATAAAAAAAACTTTACTTGAATACAAATATAAAAATAACCAGTTAATTATAATTGAATAAAAAAAAAAAAATGTATGTATTGTAATTCCTACGTCGATAGTAGGAAATGCATGTACTGTCTCTTACCAAGTATTATGATTATATGACTGCTACACAATACATATATAGTATTAATAGTTAGCTGGTAACTAACTGTTTTTGGAACAGCAATTGGAATAGGAGGTTTATGAATGTGTATAGGGAAGGGGCATGTCGAATTTTGATCTTGAGGGAATTCCAAAAGTTGACAGAGCGGGCTATAAAGGAGTTTTGGAATGAGGCAGATCTAAGAGAAGGGATGCATAGGTCAGAGGGTCGAGATCTTGTAGTGAGGGAATGGATTGAGGACTTAAATTGGAGAAGGTTGTAGGTATAAGAAGGACGATGATCGGTAATGATTTGATAAAGGAACGTGCCTAGGAAATATTGTCTTCTTAAGGAGGGGAAGAGCCACTCTAACTCAGTGTAGTGGTGGGAGACACGGGAGCGTTTCGGGGTTTTACAAATCTTGCAAAGCTATTCATAAGTAACCTTATATAACTGAATAGAAAACTATCAATGAAAAATAAAATGAGGATTGTATTTGAGATGGTAGTCAGGTAAGTAGTGGAGATACTGATGTATCGTGTTGAGGTCGTAATGATAATATACAGTATGAACAAAACATTCTGTCTGAAATACATAAAGAAACTAATTTTTAAAGCATTATTCCTTAACGACTTTGCCCTTTTTCTTCAGAAGGAGGAATGCTGCTAGATATACTAAATCGTTTAGTTCCGAACCATAGATTCGACAGTTCTAATGAGCCTCATTACGCTTCGCACATAAAGTAATTAAATTCGCCATTACGGTGCTGAAAGTTAGTTCTAATTAGTGACGCTATCACCGAAATGCGCGTTAGGCCGAATCATTTCGTGGGCCTCACACCAAGTTAAACTGGTGGTAGTAACTTGTTAACAACTAATAAATTATAACGTTTTGAAATTAACGTTTATAATCACAATTGAAAACAATTCGATAGCGAATCATCGAATGCTTCATAATCTACATACAAATAGAGATTTTATTTTATCAGTAAAGATAATCAATCAAGAAGATAATCCCCTCTCCCCTTCCCCTGTAGATCCGCCTGCGATGTAGATCGTGTCTTTTTGTAATTAGTTTCTTTCTAAATGTATAAATACTAACAATATATAACACAATAAATTTTAATATATTAATATTATAATATAACAATATTCAAATAAATTGTTTATTTCTTTTAGTTACTATTTTTGTTTCACCTAAGTAGGGGAAGAGAGATGGTTTCCTATGCCTAACTATATTCTAAATTTGTTTGGTGATATCATACTTCATCACAAAATCGAGATGGCAAAACGTATAATAGAGCAGAGACATAAAATGCAATTGCCTCAAGGTCTCATTACTCAACACTGTAATCATTCCATTCGCTGATTGCTTCATCTTCATTATTCCATGTTTATGTTTCACGTAGATATTTCCAACAACTTCACCAACAAAGGAAGAATTATGTAACACACATTTTTTTAAATTTGTTTAATAGCTCCTTTTCTTCAACTATCGAAGATTTATTGTTCATTCTCTCGTAGTTATAATAATAACACTACATAATAAAAGGCTTTATTATTATTCCCTTCGTTCAAAAATTTTTGAAGTTTTTATTTTGTTTTAAATTGAATCAAGTGAAATCTTGTCGACGTTTCCTGAAAAAATATTTGAGCGACATTGACTTTCACTGTTCTTAAAGGTTTTTTTTTTATTAACCTGATTGCTCAGATAGAAAGTCAATTAACTCAATCATCATAAAAACGAGTCCTCATTATTAGATCCTGTTTAAAAGCATTATCTTTTGATCATAGTTATTTAAGTATCCAACTTACGATAACTCAAATGACAAGTATTGGATAATAGACTATTTGGTTTTAATTCAAGCTTACTGTTTTTATTCCGATAATTTCTTTTTAAGCAGTCGAAGTGAGATGTATTCTCTCTTATCTTGATTCATTCGTCATATTCTTTTCAACCAAGATGCATGACTTGGGAAAAAGTTGCCTGGTTAGTTTTTTACCTGTATTTGAGAGATGAATGTCTTTGTTTTAAAATCTTCCAAGGATAATCTAACATTAATTTCTATATATTCTTTTTCTACATAATGTCTATAATTCATATGACTTTTAATAACAAACCTATTTTGAATTAAACTTTATAACCAATTTTCTTGAGAAATGTTTAAAATATTTTATTCAATTTTTTTTATCATTAATTTTTAACTATTAAACCTTTTTATTTATCTCTCTCTATCTAATTCCTCCCTGATGCCAATAAACGATTTGCTATATTACAATAGTTTTGATTTTTGTATTTCCTTTTTTTTAATAATGAATTTTATCCATTTATTTATATCCATCTTCCCATGACATGACATATGTCAATATGGGTGTTTGCAATTTTCAGGGATATTTTATTGTTTTAATAACTTCCTCAGACAGGCAAAGTTCAATATCTTGGACTGATCTTTGACAGAAGAATGACATGGGGCCCACATATCAAAAAGAAAACAAAAGCTCTAGACCTAAGACTACGACTATTGTACTCACTCCTTGCAAGACATTCGAAATTAAAACTTAGACAGAAATTGAATGCGTATACTTACCTACTTAAGCCCATTTGGACCTACGCTTCTTAGGGGACAGCCAAAAAGACTCACATACGTAAACTACATTTCAATATAAAACTTTCAGGACTATCACCAATGCTCCGTGGTACGTCAGTGACATTACTCTACATAAAGACTTACAGATGCCAACAGTTAACGGCCACATACGTACACACCACAAGATATTTTATAATAACTTACAAGGCCATACCAACTGATGGGCCACAGCGAACATATCCGATAGCACCCGAAGGAGGCTAAAAAGAAGCTGGATGAGGGATCTCCTACACTAACTATAAATAATACATTTCAGACAGGAAGGACGCCGCTGGGCACTCCTCTCCCCTCACGCTTATTCCAATACATATTAACCTTCTACATCTTACATTACACTTGCTGATTATCGAACTTCTGACAGGTGTGAGTTAATTAAGTAAATAAAAAAAATAATAATGACTAACTTCAATATACATATGTAAGAAAACTTTGACATATTCATAAAACGTGTTTACATCAGGGTTTTCAATTTGGTGAAAAAGTGAACTTTTTAGGGAAATTCCAAGATTGGGACAGGAAAAAGTAAAACAATTTTAACCGCTTAAAGCCAAATCTGATCACATTTTAATCCCTTTTTTAAAATAATCTAAGTGAAACAGAAATACATCGTATAGTTACAAATAATAATTATTTTTTACAGTCCCGGTCTCAGGGTGGGACAACCGAGACGCCGGCTTGATGGGTGCCTTTCGATTTTGTGGGGCGCTCGCTTACACTTGTAAGAAACGAAAAAAAAGTTACAAAAAGTATTAAAATAATTAATTTTAGCCTACCAATAAAGCAACTGTGTTAGGGAAATGTAGAACGAAATAGAATTCAAATATTACGCAATATAAAGCAGCTACGAAATAAATAAATTTTTTTTAGAGAGTTAGAGATGACTTCATTACAATGGGGAAAGGTCGCCGAATGTCTAAGGCCGGCGCTTATATTGTATACATTTAGGTGCAAAGATGAGTTCTCGGTAACAGTATTTTACTCAAATGACTTTTTTTTTTTGAATACCAAAGAATTTATTTACTGCTTCAGTTGACGTCAAAAGATTAACTAACTGAAGCAGAGATTGAATTTCCAATAATGATTCAATTTGAGTAAAATACTTGTTATTGAGTGTAGAATTTGCCCATCTTTGTTTGGGTGGAAGAGATTTTCAAGTTCGTTCTGTGGGAAAAAGGGAACATTTGACTGCCGATAGGGAAATAAAAAAATAAAATATGTTGTAAACGTTGTTGCACATGAATTTATAACTATATTCATTCAATGTTTATTTTATCAGGTCTCGTATTCTTTAAAAACTTTATTTGTGTAAAGCCATCAAAAATTGATTCTGATAAGTGATTCATCCTTTTGATGTTATTATGGTTCTTATTTTTACATGTATAATTTATTTATGTAATATTTTATGTATTAAGAGGTAACGCACTGAGATATAAATAATACATATTTATAAAAAAAACTTACCATCCCTGATATAGGTCATGGGTACTTTGCTCTCTGTGCCGTTGAATCCATGGATTATTATAACGTTCTTCTTCTCAGGGTTCCATCCACTGTACCTCAATGGTACGTTGCTTCTTATGTCGATTTCCTTCCGATACCTGCTCTTTCTGTAATGATAATTAATATTAATTAATTATTGTTCAAAATATTTCTAGAATATTTATTGCTAATAAATCGGCTGCTAAGAACCTTTAGAAGAATTAAATGGTTCGTACTTATAGGATAGGTCGGTATTTGGAGATAATAGAATATTTTTACGTCTATTATCCGATAACCTGACTTTACTTGTGATCACACGAATAGTCACTAATAAAACATTAAAGAAACTGAAAAAGTTTAATGTATTTTTGTATAGTTCCTTAATTAATTAAATTTGTACCCGTTTTTTTAACATTTTTTGAAGTGAAAACTTATTTAGGTGCGTTTTGCACTTTTTTTATTAAGAGTGAATTAGATGGAGCCGTCAGATCTTTGATTTGTAACGCTCGAGTAAAGTCGGCTGGAATCGACTAATTGAAATGTTTTTCCAAATGGATTAAATTATCATAAAAACTAAAAATCAGACCTGCCTGTTGTTAGCGAGGTATTGTAATGAGCTGTTATTCAAAATTTTATCTTGAAGCGACGCTTTGTTAGAGAGGCGAAAAGGGAAACATTATGTCGAAAACCAAATGAGTTTTATTGAAGATATGGATTAAAATATCTCTGAAACTAAAAACCGGACCTGCATACTGTAAGCGAGGGAATGATTCAGCATTTTATTCTGTAATAGGCTATTATTTATTATTAATTATTTACTATTATTTATAATTTATATTTCACATTATCAATATCGCCTTGTTGATGTTTTCACTAGCGTGTCGTCTAAAGCACAGACCTTAGTTTTTTATTACCTACAATGTTGAGTAGTTGTTTTTCAGATACGAAACCTTATTCCTTAGTCATCATAGTTGTCTATACAAGAGGTAATATATTCCATGAAGAGTCAGTTAAAATAATTATTGAAAATGTTCAATACCCTGGAGTCAACTCATGTCTTAATTATATAACAACTGTTGATTATTTATTTCCTTTATTAAACATCAGTAAGCTTTTTTATTTATTATTATATATGAAATTTACAACTGTACAATTAATATACACTCAGCAAATGTGATACAGAGAAATACATGACATGACAAGGCTTGCTGAGTAACTACCCAATGGTAGCACTCCAATGATATGTCTACATGATGAGATCACGGGGCCATCTTCTTTTAACACGCCTCGGAGGGTTATCAGGAATTGAAGAGGGAGCAAGGTTAGAAACGAGAGGATTTGGATGATTCTTATTATGGAAGTTTATTATGGAAGGATAGGTATCTGGATTGGGCCAGATCTGAAACATAAAAAACATTAAGGTCATTATAGATTGTTTTATTTGTAACAAAGTAGGGAACATTGAGGATTTTACGAAGGATTTTGGATTGAAAGGATTGGATACTAGAGGAATTCGATGGTTTAATGGGGCCCCATAGCTGAACTCCTTAAGTCCAAATAGATCTTATTATGGTCATGGATATAATTCTTTTGTAATCAATTGAAAGGTTAGAGCGATTGTCTAGTAAGTGCTGGAGTAGTCGGAAACGTCGAGCGGTTTCTTGTCGTTTCAGTCCGGTATGAGGATTCCAAGTTAGACGTTTGTCCAGGTGGAGACCTAGGTAAGTAAGCTTTTAAACAAAAGTTTGAGATTTTCATTTCAGTTTTTTTGTTTAATTTCTCGGGAGTATCATATTTTACTGATGTTAGGTTCTAACTTTCCAGGGGGTTCCATCAAAGAAGAAAAAAATAGTTCCTTGAGATAATAGCCCGACTTACTGATATATCAGTCAGAACAATTCCAAATATCAATTTATTTACTTATAAAAAAAATTAAGTTGTTAATCGGAGATGCAAATTTTATTGTACACTTATTAAATGGTTTTTGAAGCAACTAACATTTTTAAAGTCATAGATAATTTGTGGGTTGTTTGAATTACATAAAACCTAATAAAAAAATATAACTGCATTAGTGAATTTACGAATGAAATGTTTCATATATATTTTAAAATTTAAATTCTAATTCCAGTTTTTTTTTTTTTTTTTTTTTTTTTTTTTTTTTTTTTTTTTTTTTTTTTTTTTTTTTTTTTTTTTTTTTTTCATAAAGATGTTGGTTGTTTTATTAGGAGGGGGCACGATAGAAGAAGGAGAGGACTTTCTGAAATGCCGCAAAAATGCCAATTTAGTGATGAAAGTTTAGTTATACAAAAAAAAAAAACATTGAGGGCTGCAAGATCATTATTATTTTTTATTTTCTCACTAGACTTGAAACTTATAGCAACTTCATTTGGTTTTCATCCGTTTATTGACTGAGCATTAAGAAAGATAAACAATAATAACAATAAATTTAACAGCGATTAACGAAAACATTATCATATGTTTTGAGCCCTTCCAGCCTTCGAAGGGTGCACATCGCGGTTTGCGGCTTTGATCTCAGTACAATAGGCCCGCTGTTGTTTGGTTTCCGAGAAAATAAGTTTATTTACTTTCGTGTGTCTGGTTTCCAGGGACTGATAGGCTTGCTATCTTTCTTACCCATGTGTCTTATAGTGAAAAGGTGTTCTCTTCAAAGGAATAATCTGTTTGTATAGTTTTTTTTTTTAAAAGTGAAAACAGACACTTTACTTATGAGTGCACGCCAGTTAGCTGGCTCGAGTGGACTGTCGGATCAGGCAGTTTTGTCAAAACTGCTGAAGAGAAAGGTAAGATCCACTTCAAGTATTTCATCGAAAGACGGGACAAATGAGAAAAAGAGAGCGAGTTCAAACAATTCTGTGATAAAAACAACATCAAAAAATCCTAAACAAAAGCAAACATATGTTAATTCACATAACCTCCCTAACTCCACGAATACTGAAATGAATACTTTAATTATTGAAAATAATAACTCTGCGACCCATATCATTGAATCTATACTAGAACATGATGTTAACAACACTGGAGTACCAGAAAATGCTGTTCAGAGTTCAAATGCAACAAATACACCAACAACAATAAATAGTATCCCTAACGTTCCAGTCAGTAATAGGTTTGAACCTCTTTCTACGGAAATGGAAGACGAACCTGACGAAACAATAGTTACTCATCAACCACCTCCAATTAAAATAAAAGGCATAACAAACTTCCAAACTCTCTGCACGAATTTAGTAAGCCTTTTAGGAGAAAATAATTTTGAATGTTTCTCTAACAAATCGATTGTTACTTTAAAAATTAAAACAAGTGAAGCCTATAGAGTCTGCATTAAATATTTAGAAACCAACAATTACAACTTTCACACTTATCAATCCCAAGAAGACAAACCATATAGGTTTGTTATTAGAAATCTCCATTATTCAACACCACACGAAATGATAAGATATGACCTTGAAAGAAAAGGATTCAACATCCGTCTCATCACTAATGTGTTACACCCGAGATCAAAAGAACCACTCCCACTCTTCTTTGTTGACTTAGAGCCAGCTCCAAACAATGCTGAAGTTTTTAATATCACTAATTTGGCTTACACAAGAGTTAGGATTGAAGAACCTTACAAAAGAAGAAGTATTGTTCAATGTATGAGATGCCAAGAATACGGGCACACCAGAACATTTTGCCATCATAAACCACGATGTGTGAAGTGCGGTCAAGATCATCCTAGTGATAGGTGCCAGAAACCACTTGAAGAGCCACCTGTTTGTGCGTTGTGCAGTGGCAATCATCCTGCGAACTATAGGGGATGCATAGTGCATCTAGAGCTGCAGAAAAGAAGACTCAACGTGTGGAACCAGGCCACTTCGAGTAGAGAGGTAACAGAACACCTGCCTCCAGAGGCGGAACACGACCGACTTACTTACACCGTCCCTATCTCGCAAAAACTACACAACACGACTTACGCACAGGCAACGTGTACTAAAACTACATATCACAACACAACACCACAATTCACAACTGCTCAAACAACGAGTGTAACTCCTCACTACGCAATCTCTCACAATATAGCTCCTCATCATACAACTCAAATTACAAATCCCAAAACTTCAAATGAATCTTCTCGTTATGTAATCCCTCACAATATCATTCCATATCATGTAGCTCCTCAAATTACAAATCCCCAAACTTCAAATATATCTCCTCACAACACCATTTCTCATCATACGACTCCTCAAATTACAGATCCTCGAACTCCAAATATATCTCCTCAATACACTACTTCTCATACTACAAGTATAACTCCTCAGCACTCAATAAACCAAACGAGTATAATCCCTGACCGTTCAGTACCTCATTATACCCAATCTCAATACATACCGAATCAATACACGTCAACCTCATACTCAAGACCTCATCACACAACATCTAATACACAACCTAATACTCCAGATCTCGCATTATATTTTAATTCCTTCTTAAACGATTTTAAATCTATGATAACTCCGCTCATCACTCTTCTCACCACGCTAATTACCAAATTTATTCCTCATGTTAGTCCCTAATTCTATCTCACAACACTCTCTAAAAATCCTTCTTTGGAATTCAAATGGAGCCCTACACCGAAGGAATGAACTTGACATTTATTTACATGAAAATGACATTGACATTGCATTACTAACAGAAACTCATTTTACTCAAACTACAACATTTTACATACAAGGGTATGTATTGTACCGCGCTGACCATCCCAGCGGTACTGCCCGTGGTGGCTCGGCAATAGTCGTAAAACGAACATTATACCACTATCCTCTTCAAATGACTGCCTTACCAGAAATTCAATTATCATCTATTTCGGTTGAAATCGATCACACCAAAATTTCTATTGCCAGTGCATATTGTCCTCCGAGACAAAGAGTTTCACAAGAAACGTTTACAGACATACTTGGCAGCTTAGGACCTAAATTCTTATGTGGAGGCGATTTTAACGCCAAGCATGCCCGTTTCGGCAATAGGACCAATAATTCTAGAGGAAACTCTCTTTTTAATACATGTATAGAACTGGACTATAACTGCATACTACCACCTGAACCGACTTACTGGCCGACAGACATAAACCGTC